CGATTCCGAGTCAAGGAGAGAAATCTTGCCGAAGTTGTTGGTGATGAAGTCGAGGCTGCCGAACCGAAACGTCTGCCCGGGAGGGAAGACGAGGTCGTCGATGCCGGAGATGGGACCCATTGCACTGATCGGCGAAAAGCTTGACGCTACCCCTACCTGGCGCGCCAACTGTCGAAACTAGATTTCGGCAATAATAAAAGGGGGTGGCTATCAAGCTCGGAAAGTGTATGGGTTTGGAGACAAAGGATTTATACAGGTTCAGGCCTTCTTATAAAAGAAGTAATACCCTACTCCTGTCCGGGGATGAATCCGCCGAGTGTATTATTGATTGTATGATTCGGGAAAAATCAGCATATATCCCTAGAGGCGCCCGGACCCCCTTTATATACTGGAAGGAGTCCGGATTACAAAAGATAATCTATATTCCTAACGGAATATGAAGATAGAGGTAAAATACAGTCGTAACCGACTAAGTCTCAGGGTGTTTCCTTGATACACAAGTTAAGAAACAAACCCGAGATACAGATAAGATATTCTATCTACATTAAGTATCCGGTACCCAGTTCGAATACCATCGCCGTGTAGATATGGGATACCCATAATCTCCACATTAATTAATAAGAAAACATTTTTTTTTACCTCGACGAAGCAGTCATGAAAGAAGAGGCGGACGAGCCCTGCGCCGATGCCGCGGTTGGCGTACACAGCGTTCTTGACGGTGTCCTTCACAATTTGCTCAGCTTTTGGGCAAGAGGAACTGTAATAACCAACTCTAAGCCCCGGGGCCGGCGGGCTTGGGCTGGTTGGAGCCGGGTTCGGAGGAGTTGTGCTTGGTGGAGGATAGGTTGTTGGCGGGCTCGGGCTCACCGGTGCTGGACTCGGAGGAGTCGAGCTAGGTGGAGGATAAGTAGGCGGCATGCTCGGGCTCAGGCTTGGCGGGCTTGGGTATGTAATGGGTGTGGGTGGGCTAGCATTGCCGGTATAGCCTTGGCATGTCACGGAACCGACCAGAGCCAGCAATGTGAGCAGCACAGCAAGCTTAGCCATCTCTGATTCTCTGCACTGAACTCTGAAGCAGGTTACAGTGTTCTGAAACTCTCAAGACTCTGAACTTTGTGGTGAAATGCAGCTGCTTCTGCATCTCCATTTATAGTCAGTCCCCAGCCGAAGCAGAGAACAAACAATTTGGTGAGCACGTCGCGGTGACAAATGCACCCTAAGTCAAGCAGGGGAACATGGGAATCGAGCAGCTAGCTAGACCAGTTGACATGGAGGTTTCTTTGATTAATTTTTGCCGGTAAAGCTGCAGCTGCACTGAACAAGTCGACGGTCTGGTTGGTTTAATTTCAGAGGTTTTTCGTCTTGCAGCGTATGTTCCATGGATGGGTTGTTTATTGTTTCTGAATCAAATTTATCACCCAGATTTATGTTCTTGCGGCCGTTGAATTGGCAGTTTGGCATTGGTTTTGATGGGACTCGTCCACGCCAGCGCCTACTTCCCGGGGTGGTGGAACGCCAAGTTCGCATAGGCGATGGTGAAGATGGGCAGCGTCACCGTCAAGACCGCCGCCGGCGAGATAAGGAAGCAGTGTCGGTTCACCAACCAGGGGCCTGTTTGGGGAGCTTAAAATTCTGAGAAGCAGCTAGTTGGTAGCCAGCTTCTAAGAATCAAAGCTGGGTTTTCCAGCTTCTGTCTTGTAGTTCATTAGCTGGATTCTACAACTACAGCTTCTTAGAATCTAAACCAAAAGCTAGACTGTTTCGGGAGCTTCTAATTCTGAGAGAAGCTGCAGCAGTTAGAAGCTCCTCTAAACATGTCCTAGTACTAATCACGACGCTTTACATGCATGCCTCAAGCCGAGCCAGTGAACTTAATTTAGAACAATAATTATCTAGATTATGTGTCACCTGCGATAATATTTAGGATCTTATGCAACTTCGATTATAAAACGTGAGATTTCCTAAAATTCACTCTTTTTATATGGTCTCCATTGATCCCACAACAAATTTAATCGGTTATAAAATTACACGGCCAACCTCCGCTAGTTTTACTAATACGACTAACTAAACTTTACTTAGACATGTTCTTATGTCATATATAAGGGCATGTTCACGGCTGGAGCCTGGTATATACTAGTAGGCAATACACGTCACTTAAGATTATAAACTATACTCAATTTCTCAAATATTATAAGAGTATAGTTTATAGTTTTTCTATTTTCTCATGTTCCCTACCCTATAGTAAAAATTTCTTCTATAAATACTAAGAGTCTATGTTTAGCCTGTGTTAAGCTTAAATGTTTGAGAAAATTCTCTCTGTACCCCTAAAAATTCATCCAATCCCTTCTATACCCCTAAGATTTGCTCATTCCCTTCCATACCCCAAAATTTCAATTTAGATCCCTTCTATACCCCTTCCGTTAGTTGACCATTAGTTGACCGTTAAATTCATATCATAAAGTCCATTTTACCCTTTGGTATCAAGAAAATATAAATTTATGAAGTATATTAATAGAGTGTATAAATTTATTGTATACGATTATTATATTTATGAGTTTATTTTGTGAGATATTATTTAACAAAAATAATTTTTATCTCGCATAAAAAGATTTATCTTATAAAAAATTTCGTACTACTCTAACAAAATATGAAGTTTTTAATGGCAAAAAAATATTATTTTTTTGTTTTATCTAAAATAAATTTTGCCATAGATAAAAAATATTTTGTTTTCCCTTCGCAAGGCGAAACTAAAATATTACTTTTGTTAAAAATATCTCACAAAATAAACTCATAAATATGATAGTCACATATAATAAATTTATACACTCCATTAATATACTTCATAAATTTATATTTTCTTGATACCAAAGGGTTGTCATAGATAAAAATTATTTTTGTTTTCCCTTCGCGAGGCGAAACTAAAATATTACTTTTGTTAAATAATATCTCACAAAATAAACTCATACATATAATAGTCAAATACAATAAATTTATACACTTCATCAATATACTTCATAAATTTATATTTTCTTGATAGCAAAGGGCAAAATGGACTCTATGGTAGAAATTTTGTGGTCAACTAACAGTCAACTAATGGAAGGGGTATAGAAGGGATCCAAACTGAAATTTAGGGGTATGGAAGGGAATGAGCAAATCTCAAAGGCATAGAAAGGATTGTGTGAAGTTTCAGGGGTACACAGGGAATTTTCTCTAAATGTTTCACTCTCCTTTCTCTCTTCAATGTCAGTAAAGAGCCTTCTATTAATATTATTAACAGATGTTGTACATGCCCTAAACTAGAGGTCATGCCAACTTTGGATTCCTTTTTTTCAGTTAGTAATAATGTTTAAGGCCTCCTTTGGAACAAAGGTTTTTTTAAAGAAATTTAGGAGAAATTCAATCCATAACAAAGAGTATGGAAATTTTTCCTCCATGGCCCCTTTTGATTAAAGGAAAAGCCATCCGAAAATCCTACGGAATTCATTTGGATTGGCTCAAAACTTAGAAACTTCGGAGGAAATGTCCAACCTCTTGAAAAAAGTATACTTTGTGTGTGTATCTCCGATTCTAGCATTTTTCCCGTGCTCCATCCACATGGTTATTCTTATAGTTTCCTTACATTTTTTTCAATCTATAGGATTTGAAATGTTAGTGCGCTCCAACCCTCTTTTTTTTCTTATTTCCGTGTTATGAGAAATTGAGAATCCTACGTTTCAAAGGAGCACTAGTTTTTTAGGCATTTATAACTGAAAATACCAGGTATTATGATTTTAGAAAACCACCCAAATTATGTGCAACCCATTTCAGTTATTAATTGGGTAAATTAAGAAACCGTGTACAACAGTCCAAAGCGGTATTGTATTCAAAAGGGAAACTATTTTGATCTCTTGAAGGGATGTCTCCTCGTTATTTGCATGCCAATCAAATGGTTATAAAAAGAATGGAAAATTTTGAGAAGATGTATTAACATGTGATATAACACTCCACAAGAATGCATGTTCAAATTCAACTTTTAGATCTCGCAACGGAAAAAACAAATTAAACAGCAACTACATAATGTATTGTCATAGTCAATTTTTTCTTGTTGCGAGATGTAGAAGTTGAATTTGAACTTGCATGTTTATGGAGTGATATATCATATGTTAATACATCTTCTCATTTTTTTTCATAACCATTTGAGTGACATGCAAACAATGAGAGGATATCCCCTCGAGGGATCAAAATATACTTCCATATTCAAAATTCCCTTTTCATAATTAAACCACACTTTTTATAATATAAAAATTATATCCAGCAAACAGACATACCCTACTACTAGTAGTCAGTCTGGCAAGTCTATATTATCATCTTTATTTTAAAACATAGAGACAATTGACATACAAAATAATAAGAGTCAACACGGTGCGCTATGTGACTGCGTGGTGAGCACATTAGCAGACCGACACTAATCACTAGTATTACTAGTACACTAGTCTCAAAACTAAACTATAATTGTCGGTGCCCCATGACCTTCTATGAGTTTCTATACCATCAGATTAACAACACAAACCGACAGTCAAAACTGAATTAGAAACACAGGCCGCGAAGCGTAATTAGTGCAATCCGGTAGTTGCATCCTACAGAGGTTGCATCCCATCAAAACCTAAACAATGCCAAATTGCCAATCCAACGGCTGCAAGAGCATAAATCCGGGTGATAAATTTGATTCAGACACAATAAACAACCCCTCCATGGAACACACTCTGCAAGATGAAAAACCTCTGAAATTAAACCAATCAGTATCAGGCCGTCGACTTGTTCAGTGCAGCTGCAGCTTACCGGCAAAAATTAATCAAAGAAACCTCCATGTCAACTAGCCTAGCTAGCTGTTCGATTCCCATGTTCCCTGCTTGACTTCGAACGCATTTGTCACCGCGACGTGCCAGCCAAATTGTTTCTTCTCTGCTTCGGCTGGGGACTGACTATAAATGGAGATGCAGAAGCAGCTGCATTTCATCAAAAAGTTCAGAGTCTTCAGAGTTTCAGAACACTGTAGCTACTTCAGAGTTCAGTGCAGAGAATCAGAGATGGCTAAGCTTGCTGTGTTGCTCACATTGCTGGCTCTGGTGGGCTCTGTGACATGCCAAGGCTATACCGGCAATGCTAGCCCACCCACACCCATTACATACCCAAGCCCGCCAAGCCTGAGCCCGAGCACGCCGCCTACTTATCCTCCACCTAGCTCGACTCCTCCGAGCCTAGCACCGGTGAGCCCGAGCCCGCCGACAACCTATCTTCCACCAAGCCCAACTCCTCCGAGCCCGGCTCCGGCAAGCCCAAGCCCGCCGTCCCTAGGGCTTAGAGTTGGTTATTACAGTTCCTCTTGCCCAAAAGCTGAGCAAATTGTGAAGGACACCGTCAAGAATGCTGTGTACACCAACCGCGGCATCGGCGCAGGGCTCGTCCGCCTCTTCTTTCATGACTGCTTCGTCGAGGTAAAATCCTTTTTTATTAATTAAAACACGTGATTAATTAGTTAGTAAGGGATCACCTATACATTTATCGATAAATTTTCTTTTAAAAATTTGACAGATGTAATTATAGTATAATCGTGATGTAATTACACTGTAACTCGCATGTAACTTATATGTAACTTTCAAAAATATCTATGTAACATACTTTTTAGGTAAAACGGAGGTCGTGGGAGCTAATCCTCTCAAATGTTTGCACACAGTGACTTTTTTCATTCTTCATTTGCATAAATCTTGAAACAATCTAACGGTTTAAAATTATGTGAAAGCTATATGCAAGTTACATTATAGTTACAGTGTAATTACACTCCGATTGTGCTGCAATCGAGTTAGTAATCCACGTGATTAATGTGGCTGTGTATTGTCTCCTTTCGATTGATCAGGGCTGCGACGCCTCCGTTCTGCTCGACCCGACGACGGCGAACTCGCGGCCGGAGAAGCTCGGCGTGCCCAACTTCCCCAGCCTCCGCGGCTTCGAGGTGATCGACGCGGCGAAGGCGGCGCTCGAGAGCGCGTGCCCCGGCGTCGTCTCCTGCGCCGACGTCGTCGCCTTCGCCGGCCGCGACGCCGCCTACTTCCTCAGCAACGCCAACATCGACTTCGCCATGCCGGCCGGCCGCTACGACGGGCGCGTCTCCCTCGCCGACGAGACCCTCACCAACCTGCCGTCGCCGTTCGCCGGGCTCGACCAGCTCAAGAAGAACTTCGCCGACAAGGGGCTCGACGCCGACGACATGGTCACCCTCTCCGGCGCGCACTCCATCGGCGTCTCCCACTGCTCCTCCTTCTCCGACCGCCTCGCCTCCACCACCTCCGACATGGACGCCGCGCTCAAGGCCAACCTGACGCGGGCGTGCAACCGCACCGGCGACCCCACGGTGGTGCAGGACCTCAAAACCCCCGACAAGCTGGACAACCAGTACTACCGGAACGTGCTCAGCCGCGACGTGCTCTTCACGTCGGACGCGGCGCTCCGGTCGTCGGAGACGGGGTTCAGCGTGTTCCTGAACGTGGTCATCCCCGGCCGGTGGGAGAGCAAGTTCGCGGCGGCGATGGTGAAGATGGGCGGTATTGGAATCAAGACCAGCGCCAATGGCGAGATCAGGAAGAACTGCCGCCTCGTCAACTAGCCGCCATTGATCATCGGCTAATGATCACAGTTCACGTCACAGAATAAGCTCGTGATTTTTGTTTGTCATATATTTTCCACCGATTAAAGGTTTAATTAGTTAGTTTAATTTTGCCATTCTTTTGTTGTAATTCTGCATGTATCTAATATTGGAATTTCAGCAAGTTTTAATGAGATTATTATTGATAAGTACTTCCCTTTTTAATGAGATTATTGTTGGTTGTGTGTTTGCAAAATTTAACATGAAATGAGCGTAGCTGAACTGATTATATTACTTATGGTAAAACCAGCCCACCTAGATTTAAATTTTAGATTTGACACGACACGGGTGTTTGTATTTACTGCTAATTATTTTTTCGATGGTAGATGACGTACCCGATGATAGCGGTCGCAACAGCTGAAATAGAAGCCGCCAAAAGCATAAAGCTCTCAAAGATAGTCCTTGTGTCAAAGATAAGGAAAGAGGCCAAAAATTAGGCTCTATCAGGAGCAAAATGATTCTGAGCTCACATATCTTAACTATTTTTTCCTTTGTACAGTTCTTCTCTTACTTGTCCAATCTTTTTGATCCTGCTATATCGAAAAGAAATTGACACTATAGATGCACGTTAAAAAAATCATTTGTTTCTCGAGCTTCCTGAAGCCATTAATTTCTTAGTGTCAAACATGCTAGAAGCAGACAATATTGACCGGAGATCTTCAGAAACGAGTTATCAACCCTTGCAAAACGCCGTTAGTAGTTCATGTCTGTAGTTCACAGGTATTGAGAAATTCGCCTCCGCGAACTTGGCGTTCCACCACCCGGGGAAGTAGGCGCTGGCGAGGACGAGCCCCATGGTGTCCGCCGCCGTCATCAGCGCCGCGTCCGATCTGAACAGCACATGCTGGCTCATCACGTTCTTGTAGACCAGTGACGAATCTAGAAATAAATAGCAATGGGATTTGAGTAAACTAGATAGAGTTACAGTCCCCCTCCTATCTACATATGATAAAAAATTTTAGTGGGGTCTTCGTGGGGGCTCTCATAGTCTTCACGTCAGTAGTGGGGGCTCGAGACCCCGCCGCCCCCATGCTGGATCCGCCCCTGCTTGTAGTACTGGTTGTCCAGCGCGTCGGGCGTCACGGCGTCTTGCGCCACCGTGTCGCTCGGCGTCGTGCACTGCCGCCGCAGGGACGCGACGAGGTCGGCGTCCATGTCGGAGCCGGAGGTGGTGGTGCCACTGGGCGGCGGGACGCGGTCGGCGAAGGAGGAGCACTGGGAGCGGCCGATGGAGTGCGTGCCGGAGAGCGCGACCATGTCGACGGTGGAGTCGGGCTGCCACCACCGTAGCCATAGCCGCCGGTTTGGCACGCAACGGAGGCGAGCAGCGCGAGCAAGGTGAGGACGACGACGAGCTTAGCCATGGTAGCGGGAAACTATTTTCATCCCTCGAGGGGATAGCCGCCGGTTTGGCACGCGACGGAGGCGAGCAGCACGAGCAAGGTGAGGACGACGGCGAGCTTAGCCATGGTAGCGGGAAACTATTTTCATCCCTCGAGGGGATAGCCGCCGGTTTGGCACGCGACGGAGGCGAGCAGCACGAGCAAGGTGAGGACGACGTCGAGCTTAGCCTCCCCTCATTGTTTGCATGTCACCCAAATGATTATGAAAAAAATTAAGAAGATGTATTAACATATGATATATCACTCTGCAAACATGCAAATTCAAATTCAACTTCTACACCTCACAACGAAAAAAACAAATTTGACTGTTAATATATGATAACTAGTTGTAGTTAATTGTTTTTTCGTTACGAGATGTAGAAGTTGAATTTGAACTTGTATGTTTGTGGAGTGATATATCACATGTTAATATATCTTCTCAATTGTTTTCAAAATTTTTCATCACTATATGGGTTGACATGCAAACAAGAGGATGTCTTCTCGAGGGTGAAAATCCACTCCCGTAGTAGCTAGCTATACTGAGCAGTGAGCTCAAGAGTGGCAAGAGAGGGATGAAGAGGAGATGCTGGGTTGCATGGCTATTTATAGTCACCGGACGGCGGCCGGGGACGCACGCCGACACGCCGTACACAGTACGTACTGCTGCTTGGGAATGTTTTTGGCGCGCACGTTGTGGTGGTGGTGGTGTGGTGTGTGCAGGGTCAACCGTCCGGTGAACGTGGCGAGCAGATCGAATGATCGATCGAATACCCAAAGCTAGCTTAATTAGTGTTAGCTAGCTAGTGTGTGCTTGCATTCTGCACAAGTCATAGCTATAGCGTTAACATGAGCTGCTCGATCGATGACGTTGTAGGTGACTCGATCAGAGAAGGGAGGATCTACCAGAATCCCAAATTAAACTCTGAAACTCTGAATGTCAAATCAAATTCACATCCCTTTGACCGGAGAACGGCGTAAACCGGAACGTGCGGCTTGGCTGGGTCGGAGCGGGAATCCGACCTCCGTGCAGCTCATTTTTTTTGGGTTAGGAATTTGTGGCATATAATTAGTTATGTGGGCTCAGATCTGCTCTTGACGGGCTTTCATTAAAGGCCTGGCCCAACCCATCACGGAGACAACAGTCTTCAAATATGCTTATAGGGGTAGAATTTACGTGCGTGCGTTTATAGGGGGTGAGTGTGTGTTGTGCGTTGTGAGTGTGTATGTGTTTATGGTGTGTAATTTTTTTTAAAAAAACACCAGATTTGTACATTACACGCCATTACTAAACGCGCCGATCGATCGATGCAGCACTGGTATCATCTTCTTGTCGGGCAAATATTCTAGAGAGGAAACAAAATAGCCAGGAAAATATTTTTAGATAAATAGGGAGTACTAGTATAGTACACGCATGATTACATAGCATGCAGCCGCCAAAATAAGAAGGGACGCAGTATCATTTTTGTCTCCAGCCTCCCAACAGCTGAAAGCCACGATTATACGTACCTTCATGATGTCAAACCAAACGTGCAAGAAGCAGACAATATCGACCGGAGATCTTCAGAAACGAGTTATTTTTCCTCGCAAAACGCCGTCAGAACAACCCAACTAAATACCCCTAATCTAGACGCCCGTTCGAACATATCCATTGTCGGAGCTATATTAGCCGTTGACCCCGGCAATGTCAACTTCTGTATAGCTCGATCCTGTTCGATCGATGATCTATAACTGCAAATCGTGCTCCCATGTTCTGCCGGTTGATAATCAAGCTGCTAAAAATGATTAGAATTTCTTAATTAATTATACACACAAACATTCCCTCCAATGCATGCATGCACATATTCTGATCGATTCATCGATCTCCATGCTATAAATAGACTCACAGAACAGCAGCTTCCATCACACTAACACTTGAATTAACACGGAGTAGTTGTGATAAAGCTTGTAATTAAGCTAGCTATGGCATCCATGGCTGCTAATAAGCTCGTCGTCTTCGTCTTGCTCGCGTTGCTCGGCAGCAGCAATGGCGATGGCTATACCAGTCCGGGCTCGATCGCCGGAGGTCTCACGGTCGGGCACTACAAGGGCACGTGCGACCGCGCGGAGGAGATCGTGAGGGACGCCGTCAAGAACGCCATCCGCGGCGGCCGCGGCGACCGCGGCGTCGGCGCCGGGCTCATCCGCCTCTTCTTCCACGACTGCTTCGTCCAGGGCTGCGACGCCTCCGTCCTCCTCGACCCTACGCCGGCGAGCGCCGCGGCGCCGGAGAAGGCCGGCATCCCGAACCTGAGCCTGCGCGGCTTCGAGGTGATCGACGCGGCCAAGGCGGCGCTCGAGGGGGAGTGCCCCGGCGTCGTCTCCTGCGCCGACGTCGTCGCCTTCGCCGGGCGCGACGCCGCGTACCTCCTCTCCGGCAACAAGGTCTACTTCGACATGCCGGCGGGGCGCTACGACGGGCGCGTCTCCCTCGCCAGCGAGACGCTCCCCAACCTTCCGCCGCCGTTCGCCGGCGTCGACCGGCTCAAGCAGATGTTCGCCGCCAAGGGGCTTGACACCGACGACATGGTCACGCTCTCCGGCGCGCACTCCATCGGCGTCGCCCACTGCTCCTCCTTCTCCGACCGCCTTCCGCCCAACGCCTCCGACATGGACCCCGAGCTCGCCGCGTCGCTGCAGCAGCAGTGCAGCTCCTCCTCCAGCAATGGCGGCGCCAGCGGCGACAACACGGTGGCGCAGGACGTCGAGACCCCCGACAAGCTGGACAACAAGTACTACAGGAACGTGGTGAGCCACCGCGTGCTGTTCAAGTCCGACGCCGCGCTGCTGGCGTCGCCGGAGACGAGGTCGCTGGTGAGCTCCTACGCGGAGTCGCAGAGGCAGTGGGAGGAGAAGTTCGCGGCGGCGATGGTGAAAATGGGCGGCGTCGGCGTGAAGACCGCCGCCGACGGCGAGATCAGAAGGCAGTGCAGGTTCGTCAACTAGCTAATCAAGTAATCAATCGATAAGGTGATGCAGAAATGCAGAATCGATGCACGTACGTACGCATCGTTCTACAGTTTTACTCGCTCGTGAGGCTGATCTGAATAACATCGTGTTTATTATTTGTATGCAACTTTGGATTTCCGTCCGGGGGTTTTCTTTCACTATAACATTTTTGTTTATTTTTTTGTTTGAATTGCAATTGTAATTAACTATTGCTGTTGTTGTTTTACTATACTTTCTGGAGGAATCAAGGTCTTTACTGAGATGGATAATCTTTGTTCAAATTGGTCCGAATTTTTAACAGATGAACCGTTTTCAAAAACTTATTTCGAAAACAGTCCAAAATAAATATCAGTGTCAAGCCCGATGGCCCACGCGGCCTATATTAATTGGGCAATGCAAGCTCGGTGCAACCCATATTAATTCGGCCGTGACGGGAATACATAGTACGTGAGGTTTAGCTTTTGTTTTGCCGAGACATTTAGCCCATTAGTTTGTTTTCGGACGGTCAGGCCGTTGCCGACGTTTTATATTAAGAAGAAGGTGTCCCATTTTAAGGAGCAAATAGGACCAAACCTTTGTCAAATTAATTAGGGAAAACTGAACGAAAACCACAACTACAACACCACGCTAACAACTAACCTAACCTAAACTACCACAATGGAGCCCGACACAAGGCATCGCCGTGGTGACACAAATAGCTAGGGGTGGGCATATTTAGACCGAACCGAAAAGACCGAGACCGAGACCGAAAAGACCGAGACCGAGAAATTCGGTTACCTTTTCGGTCTCAGCCCTCAAAAGACCGAATTTATTTCGGTCATTTCGGTTATTGGGCTCAGTTAACCGAATTAACCGAAATGACCGAAATTTTGGCCCAATAGGCCTAGGAAGTCCAATAAGCCCATAAAAAAAACCCTACCACTACTGCCGCACAGCGCCGCCTCCTCCTCTAACCCCACCACGCCGCCTCCTCCTCCAGCCCCCACCGCCGGCTCCGCCCCAACCGCGCCGCCTCCTCCTCCAGCCTCCACCGCGTCGCCACCGCCGCCTCCGCCTTCCACCGCGCCGCGGCTGCGGCCGCCGCCGCCGTCCTCCACCACCCCGCGGCCGACGCCGCCGTCCTCCACCGCAACGCGGCCGACACCGTCCTCCACCGCGCCGCAGCCGACGCCTCCGCCCTCCACCGCGCCGGCGACGCCTCTGTCAAATTTTTTCGTTCCAAACTTTCTCCTAAAAAATTTCGGTCAGACCGAGACCGAGATCGAAAAGACCGAGACCGAATTTGCCGGTCCTGAGTTTTTTTGGATGAAATTCGGTCCTGAGTTTGCAAAGACCGAACTGACCGAAAAACCGAAGACCGAGACCGAATTTTTCGGTCTGACCGAACACCCACCCCTACAAATAGCCCACGCATGTTATCGTTGCCGAGCTTGCCACCCAAACGACACAGCAGCTTCGACTTCACCGCGATGCTACCCTAACGCCAAAAGAACACATAAAAGATACCCATGAAGGACGTCATTTAGCCCATTAGTTAAATGCACTGTACTGGGCCCACTCTTGATTGGCAGCCAGGTCACTTCCAGTGGTTAGATGATCTAGCCCATGGCATAACCGACTTTCAACCGTCACTCGCGAAGACATCCAAGCGAATAACTGTCATTCGACGTCCGGTCACATCTATGACAATTGATTGAAAAAGGCAAGTATTTTTAACAAACTACACCAGATAATACAAGATTTTATATTGATGTAGAAAAAAAATTATAAGATTATAACTATGAAGATTATAACCAGGAAAAAGAAAGACAAAACAAACCACCACGCCAAGCCGATCGCTGACTCGTCACTCAAACAATACATGAGATGCAAATCCAAAACACGAAAAAAAAAACACATTTTGCACATTTCTCCGTGCATATGACTCGTCACGCAAAGATGATGAATGTCAAGAAGGAAATTCAACACACACAATCACACAAATACAAGCGCATATTTAGGACACGCGATGATCCGATCCACGGCCATGAAAGAGCAAGCGTACGTATGCATGGGATCAGACGTAGCATTCGTAGAGCTTGATGTCCACCTTCACCCGGAAGTATGACAAGTCCGCCGAGGCCTCGTCGGTGCTGAGCGTGGCGACGCCGCGGGACATGAAGAAGTCGCCGGTGCCACCCACGACGGAGAGGTCCCTCGTCTTCTCCGACATGAGGTCGGCGCCCATCAGGTTGAGCGTGCCGCGGCGCCCCGTGGAGTTGAACACCACGGAGAAGGCGAACCACGCGTTGGGCGCCTCCTTCTTGTCGTAGAGGTAGACCCCCTGCGCGCGCACTGCCGTCTCCTCCTCCATCGCCGGCGACGGCGGCAGCGCCCTCCCCTCCGTCATGGGGTCGTTGAACACCACCATCTCGCCGAAGAAGTAGCCGGGGTTGGACACGGCGGTGCTCAGCGGCGTCGGCTTGGTGGCCGCCGCCGACGTGGAGTTGGAGGTGCTGTTACTGTAGTCGTAGATGATGTCGTGGAGGTACAGCCTCATCTCCATGCACGGCTCGTCGTAGCTGGAGACGAAGCTCCTCCTGCCGCGGCGGCCATGCGCGACGCTTGCCGAGCTGAGGCCAAGCAGAATTACGGCGGCGACGATCAGAGACGACGCATTGGACCAAGTTGCCATCAAGCTAAGCTTGATTAGCCTGTGATCGAGAGATCGAAGGTTCGAAGCTAAGAAGCTAGCTAACTAGACAGTACGCGTACGTTGCTGCAGCTGTGATGTGGAGCTCGAGTTGTGCATGGCTATTTATAGAGAGATATGGTCAGGGGAATATACACAGGTGTTCTACTGACCACTTGCAAAATTGTTTACTGACAAAATTCCGAGTTGTTAGGATAGAAAGAGGAAGTGAGGCGTACGCAAAGCGATACTACTGTTACTCCAATTTCCTTTGCTTGATTCTGACGCTGATAAATTTGTCTACTGTATTATATTGTAGGAGCACGATCGAGGCTCATGGCGTAAGCCCAGTAGAGAACAGTGCGATCACTGCCATTGGCATGCCATAATAAGATGATCCAACACCACATGCACGAAAGACACAGCAATGCTAATGATTCGGCACAAGCCGGTGATGCCAGCCGGCGACTGGAAGGACGCCATGCATGTCAGCTTGGCTATAACCGTGCTATACTACCGTATTACCTCGCCAAATTAGCCCAAAGCACACGCCAAATTCCTCGGAGGGCATGGTTAAGATCAGCAATGAATTAGTTGTTATGATATAATAGGATTAATTTCCATTTATCTTTGTGGAGCTGAATATAATGGTCGGCAAAAATCCGCTTTGTTTTGGCATGCCGCATGCATTAAGATCGACTCGCTCTCATGACTGAGATTCCCTGTAGGTTGCAATCCCTTTTCTTTTCTTGAAAGGAAGCATTCCATTGGTTGCCTCACTGTCAAATTTCAATGCATATATACTAGCCCATACATAATATAATAAAAAAAATAGTATTGATGTTCTCTGTCAGTGAAATCCTGAAGATTGCTAATCTGGTTGCCGATGAACTGCGAGCCCTGTAACTGAGCTCCAAGCCCAATTTCAGTGACATGCGTATGGACTGGTGTCAGGCGACTTTCAGAAAAAAAAATATACTTAGACTGTTTATCTATATATTATAACTTATAATCTAAATATAGTTAACACACTATAACACTGCTAAACATGTTACGATACCAACGAACTAATTTTCTGGATCCACCACCGACTATGGACATCAACGGCGGCAGCCGGCTGGCAAGAGAGCTCGGGGAGGAGGAGAGAAGGCCAGGAGGGACAGAAGAGAGAAGGGGGAGGAGGTGTTGAAGCGTCGTTGTTCGCTGGAGATGGAGAGGAGTGTGGGACCTATTGATAGGTGGGTTCCACTATTTCTTTATCTTTATTTGGTGACATGTGAGCCCTACATTTTAATTTTTCTTCTAATGCCACGTCACCGCCACATAGGACGAGGATCAAGTCAAGCCAACCACGTAAGCGTCATGTTAGCCGAAACCGTCATCTAAACCACCTTGAAACTTTATTTGCATTTGTTTTAAAAAGTTGAGAGACGCGTAATTTCAGACCGGCTACGAACTAAGGAATCTAAAGTAGTTTTTTTTTTTTTGACGCTGAAGAATCTAAAGTAGTGAACTTATTCCTTCAGTACATCACGGACTTTGTAAGGTACAATCTTTGTAAGGCCGAGAATTTTGGCCCATTAGTTAAATGAACTGTACCGGACCACTCTTGATGGGTTTCATCTCAAACGCCCAACCCATCACGGACAAAACATATTTAAACGGGCTGTTTATTAACAGCATTACTTCACTATATTCCACAGTAATTTCGGAAGGGATAAATAAAAAACATACGGTTACATTTTACATACAAATGACAAACATAATCCGTTCGTCACTTTCAGGCAACAGAACAGCAAATGCACCACTACACCCAAACAGCAGATTACACATAACTAGAGTACTTACCGAATGATCGATCGATCAATCGAAGCAGCACGGGAAACACACACGTGGAAGCATCTACGTCGTGCGTTGGTTTATTACACACGAAACCGACGGCCCAGATCTCTCCCTCCCTCCCTCACCATCAGTCTCTCAGTCCACCTGGGTGAAGCGGAGGTAGCACTTGTTGGAGGGCAGCTGGGCGGTCTCGAACCCGGCCGGGAACCTCGCCTTGGCCTCCTCGTCGGAGACGCCGGGGGGGATGACGACGCGCTCGCCGGGCTTCCAGTTCACCGGCGTCGCCACCCGGTGCCTCGCCGCCGTCAGCAGCGCGTCCGTCGCGCGCAGCACCTCCGCCATGTTCCGCCCCGTGCACGCCGGGAACAGGAAGCTCAGCTTCACCTTCTTGTCCGGCCCGACGATGTGGAGCGCCCGGTTGGGGAGCTCGCCGCCGGCGGTGTCCTTCTCGTCGGCGTCGATCATGTTGAGCTGCCTGATCGCCTCCCTGTCCGGGTCGGCGACGATCGGGAAGCCGACGCGGCGGCCAGGCTAAAGCAACCATCGATCACAAATTGAACCAAGAAATTATAATCAGATACGACTCTGCAAATGTATCAATCAGTCAAGGATTGATGAATGCGATGAACTCGATCGTGTACATACCTTGTAGGCCTCGATGTCCTTGATCCAGTCCTTGTGCGACTCGACGTCGTCGCAGGAGAAGCCGAGGAGCTTGACGCCCCTCTTGTCGAACTCGCCGGCGTAGCCCGCCATCTCCGACAGCTCCGTCGTGCAGACCGGCGTGAAGTCAGCTGAAATGCACGCACGGATTTGATCAACATCTCAACTTCTCAAGCTCGTCTGCTGCACGGACACACGCAGTACGACAGTAATGCAGTAGTACACTATATATACCGGGGTGGGAGAAGATGATGACGTAGGCGTCGCCGACGAAGTCGTGGAGGCGGATCTTGCCGTGGGTGGTGTCGAGCTCCAGGTCGGGGACGACGTCGCCGAGGGTGAGTCCAGGCATGATGAGGAATCGAGGATTAACCGGAAATTAACTGAAAGTTGAGTTGGTGAAAAAAGTAATTAAGCTAAGCTGCTGCGATTCTGCGAACTGTCTGTGATGGAATGCACTGGACTTATCATCAGTCACAGCATTTATAGGTGAGGCTGTGTTGCCACTAGAGGATTATAAAAAGCAAGCATCTAGGCCTGGGTGTAGGATAAGGCAAGGAAAAATTTACGGGACAAGAATTCGAATCTGCCAACTCTGCTTGCTGTTCAGCTGCGTTCACACCCCTACTCAAAACACACTGCATCGACTCTGCTCTCGCGTAATACGGATTCTAAACTTTCTGTAATACGAAGTATTATTCTGCACGGCACGCAGCTGTTCCCGATCCTGAATTCCCGATCGCGTCTGATAAAGGTGTTTCACCCGCGCGCATTGCAATTCGCAAATGTTCTGACTAAACCGTAATCAAAGGGTGTGTTTATTTCACGCTAAAATTAAAAGTTTGATTGAAATTGAAACAATGTGACGGAAATGTTGGAAGTTTGTGTGTAGGAAAGTTTTGATGTGATGAAAAAGTTGAAAGTTTGAAGAAAAATTTAGGAACTAAACCAGGCCAAAGTGTGGAAAATTTCATATACTGTTCATCACGGATCTGTCTAGGCACTCGCCAAAATGCACAGCAGAATGAAGCGGAGCGACCTGACAACTAACCACGCGAGCGATGCCAACGGACGATTGCTTCCTCGTAGTATCACAGTTTTTTTTCCAAAGAAGAGGCTGACCCTCCTACTATAAAATACTAAAAGGCGGCGTTTGATTTCATCATCGATGACGTTGCAATGCCAACCTGATTAGTTCGTTAACCACTTGGTTTGGGTGATTACCTATTGTCGACCCTTTTCCTATGGAGAGTTTACGGCCGGATTCGACTGAGAATTTTGCGCGTACGTCTCACTAAAATCTCTTCGTCCTTTTTTTTCTCTTTTTCGTGTACGCTGTTTTATTATTATTTTAATCATTTGTTCTCATTCTTTGGTTACATTGGAATGTGCATGTATGCACCCACCCTCTCCGTACTAGAATCCTCTCCGTACTAGAATATAAATCATGAATATAAATCATTTTAAAAGTAATTTTAAGGTTTTTTTTATCAAGTTTATTTTTAGCCTAATTTTTAACCTCAAATTAATTTTGAGGGTCTTTTTTTATCTTCGAGGGGTGGTTTTTTTATCAAGTTTATTTTTAGCCTAATTTTTAACCTCAAATTAATTTTGAGGGTCTTTTTTTATCTTCGAGGGGTTTTTTTATCGAAGTTTGTTTTAGAGGTTTTTTATGGAAGTTTGTTTTGTAAAGCTCTTTAATTACTAAGAAGACGTATATAAAAATTTTTATCGAAGTTTGTTTTAGGGGTTTTTTATGGAAGTTTGTTTTGTAAAGCTCTTTAATTACTAAGAAGACGTATATAAAAATTTTATTAACAATATATACTAAATTTCATTAACGAAATATACTAAATGATGGCTTCATTTTAGAACTTTGATGCTATTTTGATCAATATTTATAAAATTAAGATGTTTTAATTCCGTCCCAAATATAAACATTTTAGAACTTTACGATGTTACTTTGAACAAACAATATCAATATCTATAAAATTAATAAAATTAAGATGTCTAGTAACATCTGATTGATCTTTTTAATTTGTTTGTTATTAGTAGTCAAAGTTAAAATGTTGTCCGAGGAGAGTACTTGCCAACCACAACACCCACTCTATTAGTACAGGGGCGAACATACGGGTACATAAACAGTCTGCCAAACAGCCAAAGTTCAGACAGTAGCACAGAGTAAATGCACTACTGTTCCAAACGTAGCGGCATTATCCACACCAACACACACAGGGATGCATCTCGCATAGTCATCACGCCAGCACACGCTATCACGCACGCGTGGCGCACATGATGTACGAAGAGCGAGGTCGATATCGATATGATCTAGCCGACCTTGGTGAAGCGGAGGTAGCCCTTGCCGGACGGCAGGTCGGCGGTGTCGAACCCCTGGGGGAACTTCTCCTTCGCCTCGTCGTCGGAGACGCCGGGAGGGATGACGACGCGCTCGCCGGGCTTCCAGTTCACCGGCGTCGCCACCGCGTGCTTCGCCGCCGTCTGCAGCGCGTCGACCGCACGCACCACCTCATCCATGTTCCGCCCCACGCACGCCGGGTACAGGAAGCTCAGCTTCACCTTCTTGTCGGGGCCGACGATGTGCAGCGCGCGGGACGGGAGGTGGCCGCCGTTGGAATCCTTCTCGTCCGGGTCGACCATGTTCAGCTGCTTGATGGCCTCGCGGCTCGGATCGGCCATGATCGGGTACGTCACGCGGTTCCCAGGCTATAACCAAAAAAATATATATTATTACGATCGATCTAGTTAATTAGTTACTACGTTTTCACACAAATTTAACTAGGCCAGGAAGGTAATTAAAATGACCTTGTAGGCCTCGATGTCCTTGATCCAGTCCTTGTGAGACTGCACGTCGTCGCAGGAGATGCCGAGCAGCTTGACGCCCCTCTTGTCGAACTCCTTGGCGTAGCCGGCCATGGCTGCCAGCTCCGTGGTGCAGACCGGGGTGAAGTCGCCTGATCGATCGACGGATCATTCAATCAATCAATCGGATGCACATCGATCCACACAAACTACTACCGAATGAGAATGTGAGAATCGAGCGAGTGTAGTGTGTAGTGTGTATACCGGGGTGGGAGAAGAGGATGACATAGGTGTCGCCGACGAAGTCGTGGATGCGGATCTTGCCGTGGGTGGAGTCCAGCTCCAGGTTGGGGACGGTGTCGCCGATGGTGAGCCCTGGCATGGCGACGAACGACTGTGCTGCCTTAGCACTGGGAGCAGAAACGAAGAAGAAACTTATGAGCTGCTGCAATGCAAACGTGTCGAGACGAAGGCACTGGAGACTGGAGTGAGATCGAAGCATTTTTATAGGTGAGGAGTGAGGTGAGTGGAGTTGATCAGTGTGCAGAGGTGTCGCCACGGCGTGCTGCATGGGGGCCACGTACCTCGTCTCGTGGCAGCCGCGCCTCCTACTATACCTTTGTGAGTCGTGTTGACCTCCCCCATCCCCATGACCGTCCATTCTGGAATCTTCTCACGGCCACCTGAAACTGATCGTGGCGGCCCATGTCGGGAGAGCTTTTGGAATTTGGACTCGGTTTAGCTCAGAAAGGACCAAGCGCCTATTCACTTTGATGCCAAAAAAAACCTTACCAAATTTTGGTATTACCAAAATTTATAGTGGCCAAAATTTTGATAACTTGTCAAAATTTTGGCAGGATTTCTTATATAGTTACCAAAATTTAGCAGCAAACTAAATGTAGCCACTTTTTTTGACAACTTTACCAAAATTTGGTAAGATTGAAAATGGCATCAAAGTGAACAGGCCCTAAGTTCACCAGACGTCCCTCAATTTATACACGAAATCTGTCTGAGGTCTCCTAACCGGAATACCTTAACTATATAAAACCGTCCAAAAAAAAGATCCCGAGGTAGTATTGATGCCTGGTTTCACTGACATAGCATCCGATTAGCAAAGAATAAAAAATAAATACATGTAAGTGGGAAGAAATAAAATGTGGAGGGTCAACAATCCTAGTCTGGGATGATGTATGGATAGGAAAGACACCCCTAAAAACTCAGTTTCCATATATCTACAAAATTTGTGCAGACCAGAAGAAAACTGTACATCAAACTTATGGTCCTGAGGGAGCTGGGTTATAGAGTTGAGGAGATCTCTGAGTGAAGGGGAGATGGAGGAATGGGAAGAACTACATAATTTGTAGGGGAGATTCATCTTTCAGGTGATAAAGATCAAATGTTTTGGAAGCTGATAAGTCTGGCTCTGTCAGGGTTATGGATATCACATACCTAATAGTAGTTGACTAAATCTCGGTAGGACCCACTACATACCATGTCCTATACGGAAGCAACCTACAGATATAGGAGGAGTTCCGGATAAGAAAAGATAACCAGAGTTTTACATGGAAACGACAAGGACTACTTAGATTGTATTCATATTGGTTTCCCTAGTTCTACTTGGACAAGGGGACACCTATGGGTATAAATACAAGACCCCCTAAGAGGAGAGAGGACACACCCACCATGGAAGACACCCACCACAACATACATGGAACAACAGAAGCCACAACATACAAGTTGACATACGCCAAGACAAGACGCCAGATATCGACTTCAGAGATAGGCATGGCTAGTCCCTTACGGTGCCTACGGATACTGTCAGCAGGAGAGATATAGCGCTGTCTCTGATCTCGCCGGATGCGGATTCGAGGAGGAAGGCTACACTGTTATCGACTACGAGTCAGACCTTCACACCGCCATATCGACAACAGTTTGATAGGTTATCCCAAATATTGTACTAGTGTGATTATGGTGAATAAGAGTAATACCGGCTTCGGCCAACAGGATGTTGGGTTATTACCTGACAATTCAGGGGCCCGAACCTGTATAAAAATCCCTGTCTCCGTCTCTTTTACCTCAGTCTCGCGTATATCATAGTACCAACGATCCCCATACTATGCAAATACCGGAATCGCGACATCAAACATCGACAGGCTCTTATACTACCAAATCCCTTTACCAGGCCCTATGTTTTGGAGGGGTTAAAGATAGGGTTTTGCAGGACCTGTGGAGGTCCTCCATTCCCTTAAAAGTCAAAATCTTCTTCTGGTTAATGTTGAAGGGAAGAATTCAAGCTGCCAGCCAGCTGAAGAAAATGAAATGGGAAGGTAGTCCAAATTGTAAATTTTGTGGGGAAGTCGAGGACGTGGACCACATGATGTTTAGATGTGCCATTCCTAGGTTTATGTGGTGCTGTTATAGAGATGCTCTAGGTTGGGATAGTATTCTCAATTCTAGAGGCGAACTGGTACATAAACTAAACTTGTACAAAGAAGGGTCGCATTCTATTTGGCTTGCTTGCTTCGCTGCGGGCGCTTGGGCTATTTGGCTCATGAGAAATGATTGGGTGTTCAATGACAAGATGATTTCGGATGCCTCTCACTTGCCTCATAAAGCTATCTTATTTCTTTTACAGCGGAGAAAAAAATGGCGTCAGCAAAGGAGAAGAGTTCTTTGAATGCTACAAGGGACTCACTGCTTGCCAGTACCCGAAGGACTGTAGGAGCAAACACCTGAAGCTGAAGAACTGAAGATCTCTATGCCTATCAGTTTGTTCGTAGCTTTATCTTCTTCTTGTCTAGTTTCCTGGCTTGTTCCTAAGATGTGCCAGCAGCTAAAGTGCCTAACTTATGTGTGCTGGTTTCATTCCAGCCTTGTTTTTGTTCTTCCGTTTTCATGTATGAACTATTTCGCTTTTTAATGAAAACCGGGCGTTTAACGCCTTTCCTCCAAAAACAATTCTAATCAGCAATTTTCTTATCTTTCGTTTTTATCTTTGCTGTTGAGGGGGAGCGGCAGCGGGCAGCGGCGTGCGTGACCGGAGGCCGGCGGCGGCTGGCGAGCAGCAGCTCCGGGCGCGGGCGGAGCAGAGGGAGGGGAGCGGGCGAGTGCGGCCGCGGAGAGGCGGTGGCGGGATTTTTCTCTTTTCACCCGCTGCGTCATTCGCTTGTCGCCGCGGCGCTGGCTTGCTACCGCTCCCCCTCTGCGGTGAAGATAAAAATGAAAGAGAAGAGAAAAAGGAAAAGACAAGAAGATTACTGGGTAGGATTGTTGACCGCGTAATTTTTTCTTCTCAGTTACATGTGTGCCCCGCATTTTAATTTTATTTTTTCTTACTAGGATGCCAGGTCAGCAAAACCAAGCATCTATACTGTATCGGGACTTTTTTTTGGATGGTTTTATATAGTTATGGGATACACATTTCTAGTATTGTGGTTAGGGATCTCAGACAGACTCGGCGTATAATTGAGGAATGTCAGATGAACTTATTCCGCTCAGAAATGGCCGTGGCGTGCTGCTCTGCTTTCCGTCCCAGCCCAGTCAGTTCGTCCTGTCCCCTTTGGATCGACGAACGATTCCAGTTAAGCCCAGTAAGGGTCTGTTTAGTCGGCCAAATGGAAATTTTTTAATATTATATCGAACGTTTGACCAGATATTGAAAGGAGTTTTTAGACATAAATAAAATAACTAATTTTGTAACTCGCTTGCAAACCGCGAGACGAATCTTTTGAGCATAATTAAACTGTTATTAACACATTTGGGTTACTGTAGTACTTATTGCTAATCATGAACTAATTAGGCTCAAAAGATTTGTCTCGTGATTTACCTGCAAACTGTGCAATTGATTTTTTTTAATTTATATTTAATACTCTATACATATGTTAAAGATTTGATGTGATGTTTTTTAAAAAAGTTTACGGGGAACTAAACAGGGAATAAGTAAAGCTTTGGACCGGCAGTTGTACTGTACTCTGTATTAGGGAAGAAGCCTAGAAGTCCAGTTTTGTTTTTGGACTTTTGATAATGCAAAAGTGACTTCACACGACAGTCGACAGTAGTACAACTGAAGATGGATAATGTCCACATAATCACAATCAGCTTTATCAAGCAACGGAACAAAAACGTACCCTGTACCCAGAATCATTATTCATTTATTCCCTTTTCATGCATAAAAAACCTATTCCCAACAAGGTTCGTACTAGCCCACACAATCAGGCTCGTCCCGTTATTATCAACCGATCAAATTCACCACAGATTTTATTCTAATTAAAAGTGCAGCTCATCGATCATCATCTGTCGCCCTCAGCTCAGACGTCGCAAGTGAGCCAGAGCGGCTCATCAAACTCGCCCAGCGACTCGTCCCCGGCGCCCGGGCCCAGCGACAGCGACTCCAGCCCCGCCGCCGGCGAGCTCGCCGGGCCCCACGCCGGCGTGCCGTTCTCGTAGGCGTTGCAGGTGAGCCTGACCAACCCCGAGCCGTCGAGCCGGCACACGTACAGGTCGCCGTACGGCTGGAACTGGTTCGGCGCCGAGATGGGCTCCGCCATCACGCCGCCGAAGTTGGCCGTGAACAGCAGCCACCGCGAGTCCGGGCTGAAGCACACGTGGTTGATCCGCTCCCTGTCCGCCGCCGCGCTCCCCGCCGGCCCGGCGACGTGGACGCGGCGGAGCCCGGAGCCGTCTGGCCGGACCAGGTAGATGCTGAACACGGCGGCGTTCGTCGGGTCGTGGCGGTTGGAGGAGAACGCGATCAGGCTCCCGTCCGGCGACCAGCTCGGCATCGTGTCGATCCACTCGCCGTCGGTCAGCCGCCGGATCGTCCCCTCGCCGGCGCCGACGTCCTCGCCGTGCGCCGCGTCGACGATGTAGAGGTTCTTGTGGCCGGAGCGGCCTGACCGGAACACCACCCACTTCCCGCACGGCGACACCGCCGGGAACGCGTCGTTGCCGGCCTCCGGCCGGGTGAGCACCTTGAGCGTGGCCGCGACCTCGTCGCGGCCGGTGGTGAGCTCGCCGGCGTCGAACTCCAGCCGCGCGATCCTCACCGTCGCTTTGGTGGTCTCGAAGATGGGGCCCATGGAGGTGAAGATGACCCCGCTCTCGGCGGGGCTCCACGACGTGTAGAACAGGTTGGGCTCCCGCGTGAGCACCCACCGCTTGGCGCCGTCGGATCGGAGGATGGTGACGCCCGGCGTCTTGAAGAAGTCGCCGTTCATGGCGAGGTGCGCCGCGTCCGGCGAGAACGACGGGAACGTGCCGTACACGCGCAGCATCCGGAGCGAGCTCACCGGGCTCTGCACCGGCTGCAGGTAGGGCACCACCGAGTCCCCCCGCGCGCCGGCGCCGCGGAAGCGGTGGTACCCGACGCGGTCGCCGGACGGGGAGAAGAAGGGGTTGTAGTGGTGGAGCTCCGGGTTGAGGCGCTCGGTGAGCGGGGAGAAGCTCTCCGTCTCGAGGTCGAACAGCTCGACGTGCCGCTGCGCGCGCCCCTTCCGCCGCGTCGCCACGGCGATCCACCGCCCGCCGCCGCCGCGGCCGACCGCGGCGGGAGTGAAGCAGTGCAGCCCGGGAGGCGTCACTCGCCTCTCGCCGCCGGTGGGCTCGAGGGTCTCAGGCGAGACGTCCACCCGGAACACGCTCCACCACCCGTCGTCGGCGACGCGGTGGAAGAAGACCGTGCCCTCGCCGTGCCACGTCGGCCACCCACCGCGCCCCACCACGACGACGCGCCTGGCTGGATCGGCGGCGCGGAAGACGGCGACCTCCGTTTCCAGCACGCGGAAGTCGAACGCCCACGGCCGATCCCCGTACGACGCGACGGCAACGAGCTCCCCGGAGTCCGACACGGCGGGGCTCATGTCCACGACGCCCGGAGGACTCACCCGCACCGTCTCCTTGCTCCCAATCTCCGTCGCGTACACCGCCGCCCAGCTCCTGAACGGCGCCGGCGGCTGCTCGTGGGCGGAGACGAAGTACAACCTCCCGCCCCTCACCGTCGGGCGGTCATGGAACAGGCTCCCCTCCACCGTCGGCAGCGGCTCGGCCCGCTGCTCGGGCCCCGGCCGGCACCGGAACAGCCCCGCCGCGCCGCCTCGCTCCGACACGAACGCCACCTCCTCCCCGCCATCGTCGACGAACTGCGCGTTGAAGTTCACGGATACGCCGTCCGTGTGGCGGCGCTCGGCGTCCTCCTCCATCGGCGGCAGTGGCACGGCGGCGGAGAAGACGTCGAAGCCGAAGTTGGTGACGCCGACGGTGGCGAAGACGATCGTGCCGGTGGGCTCCATCGGGAAGTGTGTGTGTGCCTGTGTGTGAGCCTGTGAGGTGAGTGAGGTGTTTGTCCGAAGCGAGGCGGGTATTTGTAGGTTAGCGGTTGGACCGGTCGCTGTCAGGTGGGGCCCAAGCCCGAGCTTTATCTACTCGGCAATTTTTTTTAACAACTTTTATTTTTAATTTAAAAATATATCATCCCAAATTATATTCAAATTCGAATTTGTTGGCCAGACCGACAGTATTGTTTTGCCACGTCAAACGAATAACGTGATAAAAAGGAATAAATATTTCAAAATAATTTTAAAAGTCTTTTTTAAATCAAAATTTAAAGAGTTTAGAAAACGAGTTAAAATTCCTCGGATGGTACTCGACTTTTTGAGTGGTTGCTGGGTCACTCCACTCGACACCATCGGTGTGAACGGGCGCGTGACGAACGGAATCTGTGGTGCATGTGCGTGCACGGATCGATCACGTTTGGGCACAGTGTCATCTGCGATTTCTATCAGGAAGCCATCTGGATGATCTTGGAAAGAAAAGTTCATTGTCGTTATCCTAATCCAGGGGTTAATTAACTCTAGTGCTTGCTTCGCACGGCAAAAAGTGACTACCCTGCCTACCTGTCACTGACCGGGCTTAAAGATGGTGTTTTTTATGTGTTGGCTAGCTGATCAAGGCAAATGATGTTCTACTACTAAACAATCTAGGAGTACCACGCTTAATTTGCATAATTGCATGCATGCAGCTCATGGATGATGGAGTGCACCTGGCGCGGAAATGTGGGAATGTTCGTGTTCGACTGCGTGTGAACGCTCTTAAGCTCATGAGTGAGCTGGCAGATTCGATCGAGTTTGGGGTCAATGCGCAGAGTCGAGTCCCTGCATTTTTCTTTCTGAGCTTGTTTACCAAGAAACTTTTAACGAACGTGCGCTGTTTGTTTTACTTAGCTGCTCTGCTCTGCTCTGCTGTCCTATGTTTTTGCCTTGAAAAACATTATATAATGATGATGAACTCCTGCTTAATTACTTGGGTGATTTCGCTTGCTGTTTTGTGAGAGTGGCATTATATATTTGTATTAAAGGGTTGATTAGGTGTGAACACAGCTGGGCTGGTCGGAAGATGCTGATTTTGGTCAGAGCAAGGACAAGCCCACACAAACCATGCTGGGTTGATTAGTGAAGGAATTGCTCGGTTGTTTCCCTTTCTGTCTACTCCATATTCGTGTAAGCCAAAAGAGATTACTGACTGTTGTTCTTTCGCTTGTCACATTAATACGCACGAAAATGCAGTTGGTACCTGTTGGGCCCAATAGTGACTTAGATAGGCCGAATCAAGATGTTGCGGGCTAGCGGCCCAGTGAGTAATTGAAGTTCACCAGACACTGTGGCCGTAGCCCTCCTAGCCACGTACAAAGGCCACGGCCCAATTCGGAAATGATTTTATTTTTTTCAGTTCACCCTTTCTACTCTCAATCCCTAAAACCTAATCGCCTTCTCAATCTCCCTACTCGTGGTCGGTCTAAATAGTTTTGTCCACATTGTTTTGGTTGGAACTTCAGTGATGGATTGAGATACATGTCAAATACTCCTCAGATTTCAACTAGGTACATTTGACTGAAATTTTGTGATCTTCAAGTTTAAAGCATGAATATATCTTGAGATAAAAAATGGGGGGTTTCAAGCAAAGGCATTCCTTTTGAAAAGTTCTTTTTTTGCAATAAATTAACTAATTTGTGCGAAAATCCTATAAAATTTCCTGCATTTTATACGAATTTGCAAAGGAAAAGTTCAATTACTGCAAAAAAAATGCCCTAATTCAAGCATATACTCCATAATTCCTGAAAGAGTGAAGTTGTAGCATATTTGTCTCTAAAAGATTATAGTTTTTATGGTCCATTAGATCTTTTTAATACCATTTTATGTTTTCCTTCACATTTTAGCCATTTAACTGATAATAATCTTTTTTTGCTCTTTGTTTTCTCTCGGTTGAAAGAGTAAGGCTATGTTCTTTTCCCCTCTTTCCCAACTCACTTCCCTCGTTTTCCGTGCGCACGCCTTTAAAACTGCTAAACGGTGTATTTTTTGCAAAAGTTTTCTATATGAAAGTTGCTTTAAAAAATTATATTAATCTATTTTTTAAGTTTTTTAGGCTAATACTTAATTAATCTCACTATAATCGTGTGCTTTGTTTTCCGTATCGGGAAGCAACCTTACCTCCCGAACATAGCCTAAGGGTCCCTTGATTCCTAAGTCCCTTGATTCCTAGAAAAAACATAGTAACTTTGGAAGATTTCAATCATATCGGAAAATTTCCCATAAAGTTTTTTTCAAACAAAGGATTGAATCATATCCTCTCATTTGAAATTACTATGGAATAGACAATTCTATATAGAATTTGGAGGAGAATAGCAAGAGCCTCAACCTTTTGGAAAATTTTCTGTATGTCTCTCTTATCTGATTTCTACTTCTTTCCCACGATCCACTGAAACAGTCTTTTCCTGTGTTTTTCTCGCGTTTTGCGATTCTCCATTTTGTACTTGTATTTCTGTCAGAATCCTACATTTTTCTTATTTCTTTGTTTTTCTGTTCCTATGATTCAAAGGGTCCTCATAATTTTATAACATGATCAATATATAAATAAGTTAATACTATTAGGTTGAGTTCTTTGCTGGGTGTTAGGAACTCATCTCTCACGGACGCAAAACAAAGCGATTCATTAGCGTATAATTAATTAAGTATTAGCTGATTTTTTTTGAAAAATGAATTAAGATGATATTTTAAAGTAACTTTAGATTTTTTTAAAAGAAAAATATTATTTAGTAGTTTGAAAAACGTGCCTGTGGAAAACGAGAAAGTTGAGTTAGAGCAGGTACAATAGCAGGCTATAAACCTGCTGCAAACATATTTTAAGAACATAAATGAGGAGACAGAAGGGCAGCGGGCTACAGATTTATAGCCAGCTGCAGCACGGACTCCAAGACGTAACGTGTGTATGACAGGTGGGACCAAGTATTAATAGTGTAGTATATAATTATTGTATGAATGAGCTATTAGATTGGCTAAAGATGAATTAGAGTTAGGGCCTGTTTGGCACAGCTCCAGCTCCAGCTCCACCCCTCCTGGAGCTGGAGCTCAGCCAAACAGTTTCAGCTCCACCAAAATTGAGAGTGGAGTTGGGTGGAGCTCTCTCACAAAATGTACTAGAGTTGTGGAGCTGGGTTTAGGCAGCTCCACAACTCCACTCCAGACTCAACTCCTGGAGTTATATTTAGGAGTTGGAGCTGTACCAAACAGGCCCTTAATAGTTGGCACTTAGAAGTCTAACCACTCCAGTTTATAACTCAGCGTTAATGAATATTTAAGCAACCCAAATAGTACAAGTGGACATCGCCATCATTAATTAATCTACATCAAAAAGAAAACGACTTCCCTAATTACCGTTCTTAATCACAGGAGCGGGGGTGGCCGAAAGCCCGAAAAGCTTTCACACAGTCAGAGACTCATCAGTCATCAGATCCACTTCCTCTCATGGCCACCCACACGCATGCGCAGTTCAAATTTGAATTCTAGCGAGATCGCCCATTACTAGTCTCCTCTACTCTACCACCCCCCGCTCCCCCACCTCGCCACCTCACTCCGTCTCCGCGCAGCCATGGCTGGCCACGGCGCCGGCGGCCGGCGAGCCTCCACCTCGAGGGCCGCTGCCCGCCGCGTGGAGGCGGAGACCAACGAGAACGACGACCTGGCCGCCGCGGCGGCGCCGTCCTCCTCCTCAGTGGTGGGTGGCCCCGCCGCGCTGCCGTTCATGCTGCCGCCGAGGTCGCCGCTCGCGGCCATCGCGGACCCGGGTAGGAACCCCCGGTCAGCGCCGGTCACGCCCAAGTCGCTGGCCGGCACGCCCCGGGCCGCCGCCTGCGCCGCGGGGTCTGGGGTTAGGGATCGGACTTCCTCGATTGGGACGTCGTCGAGGAGGGTGTTCGATCTCAGGGACCTCGCCGCCGCCGAGGTGCCCGCGGAGGTGCCGCACTTCGAGCTCGATGAGGACCCTGCGTTCTGGAAGGATCGCAATGTGCAGGTTGGTCGATTGTTTGCAGTAATAATTCGGAAAATCACAACCATTCTATGCGCTATTGGATTAGCAACCATCAGAATAACGAAATCCAGTGTTGGTAGATTGTCAATTTTGCACGCACGATAGCAAAGATTTCTGAAGCTAAGAATGCTTAAATGTGGCGTAATTTCTTCAGGTGTTGATACGGATAAGGCCCATCAATGCAGCCGAGAGCACCGCGAACGGTCAGAGAAGATGCCTGGTACAGGATAGCTCAAAGACATTGAGCTGGACAGGGCATCCGGATACAATGTTCACGTTTGACCATGTTGCATGTGAAACAATATCACAGGTTTGCAGAGTACTACTGCCACTGCTATTGATTACTTTGCAAGGACGGTCTTAGCCTAATCAATGTTCTGTATAATTGTTCTAGGAGAAGTTATTCGGGGTTGTTGGTCTTCCAATGGTGGAGAACTGCATGTCTGGATACAATGGCTGTTTGTTTGCCTATGGACAGGTAATATTATGTTGTACTATGTTTTTTTTCGGTGTCAGAAATAGGGATTTGTCTGATGTATATGCATGGTTCTCCTATTGTTTTTATAGACAGGAAGTGGGAAAACATACACGATGATGGGAGAGCTTAGTAAGCTGGACAATGAACTCAGCAAAGACTCTGGTTTGACACCTCGCATTTTTGAGTATCTTTTTGCTCGGATAAAAGAGGTAAGCTTAATACTTATAATTGTTGTTTATACTTAATAGATATTAATTATTAAGAAAAAAACAAAATGCTATGTTTCTTGAAGGAAGAGGAGAGACGGAGAGAGGACAAACTGAAATATATCTGCAAATGCTCCTTTCTGGAGATATATAATGAACAGATAACCGATCTACTTGAACCATCATCAACCAATCTTCAGGTAGTTTGCCTACTAGTTTCCATTTGAGGATTGCTTCATACTGTACTAACTTAATGTGGAAACTAACATAGATATTGCCTCTGTAGATCCGCGAAGATATAAAGAAAGGTGTATATGTTGAGAACCTAATGGAATGTTATGTGTCATCTGTTAAAGATGTTATGATGTTATTGTTACAGGTGATATAATCTTATCTTCATTTTACGTTCCATTGTCTGAATATCTGAGGTACTATAATTGTTATATGATGAAATACTTTAGTGAAGCTCCTAAATTGTTCTTTTAGGGGGTGGCAAATAGGAAAATGGCAGCAACAAATATGAATAGTGAGAGCAGCCGTTCACACAGTGTCTTCACTTGTGTCATTGAGAGCCGCTGGGAAAGAGATTCAATGACACACCTCCGCTTTGGGAGGTTAAATTTGGTTGATCTTGCTGGTTCTGAGAGGTGAATTACAGAGTCTAGCTAAAAAGCTTTTTCTTGTCTTCACAAATACTGACTGAATTGAAACTAGGCAGAAAAGCTCAGGAGCTGAAGGGGAACGTTTGAAAGAAGCTGCAAACATTAATAGATCATTGTCAACTCTTGGGTAATTTCTTCTCAGCCTCTCAAACAGCACTCCATTTTTTTTCTCGAAAACGCAAGACACAACATTCCATTTGCTGGACGTTTTGGAGCAATCCTTTTTTATACATATTGAAGGAAATTAACCGTGTTTGCATACCAATCAGTTTTCAAAATGCTATCATTTAGCAAGTCTAACTAGATTCTCATACTAGAACACCCATGTCAGTTTTCAAAACACTATCATTTAGCAAGTCTGACTAGAGTCTCATACTAGAACACCCATGAAGATGGTGTTTAAAATGAGACCACCAAATAGCTCACTTTGTCCATGTTAAAGTGGATAACTTTTGTTATGTTTTCCATTTTATGAAGCCTGCTACATTTATGGCTAAGTGAAAAAAAAACCATGAATATGTGTTCTATTGGTTTCCTTATTCAAAGTGAAGTGCAATTGGCTTCATGGAAGTTTATTATGTCTACTAGCCTGTACTGTAATGTTCTTTACTATACCAGGATGTACATATATTTGAGTGCTAGGAATGAATGCTTTTGTATAATGAAAATATTGTAGTGTAAGAAGCATGAGTTGCTGTACCATTTCAGGCTTGTTATAATGACACTGGTGGATGTTGCGAATGGGAAAAACCGGCATGTTCCCTACAGAGATTCAAGGCTTACATTTCTACTTCAGGTTAAAATAGAAAGACAATATTAGACTGCTGAAATATTTTTTCCATCACTTGTCTTCAATTGTTCTTTTCGCTCACTGACTTGTGCCTTTTTAACTAGGATTCCCTAGGAGGGAACTCTAAAACAACAATTGTTGCCAACGTCAGCCCATCTATTTGGTACCCATGTTCTATATATTCATTTGTAGCATTCAGTTTGTTTGGTATATTCTTGATAGTACCCTTAACTCGTTTATGAATTATTCTTGCAGTTCCTCCAGTGAGACATTGAGTACCTTGAAGTTTGCTCAACGTGCTAAACTTATCCAAAATAATGTAATACTATTTAGTATTTTAAGAATGCCAGAGTTTGCTAAGATAGGAGGAATTCTCTTGTTGACATTCGGATCTTCATCTATTTATGCTAGGCCAAAGTAAATGAAGATGCTTCAGGAGATGTTATGTCTCTACAAAGGCAGATAGAAGATTTGAAGGTAATGCTTTTATAGCAAAGTCTCTCTGTTGGATTTTTAAGGCATTTTTAATTGAATTAATTGTTTACTTCTTACAGGATCAGTTAACATGCTTGAAGAAGCAACAAAATATGCCTGGATCACCTAGCTTTAAACTTCTAAAATCAGGCTATGGTAATGAATTCAATAGTTTGCATGGGGTAGATGATCAGTCAGCCTGTGATTTGGAACTCCTAAAGCAAAAGGTCACATGACATGTTTTTACTTTACTGGTTTTTAACCATGATGTACGATGTATTACTTGTAACCAATTACTCATATATCTAATAGCAGGTTATCCATCTGGAGGATGTTTTGGTAGGGAGCCTTAGGAGAGAAAAATCAGCAGAAACAGAAATAAGGAAGCTGGAATGTGAAATAAAGAGTTTGAACCGTTTGGTAATACTATATTCTGTTATAGATAACCCTTGAAAAGAGCTATTGATTACTCTTATATTCCCTATATATATATATGCTGTAGCAGTGTTATGCCTTTTCAAAATTGGGAGATGCGAGTTATATGTTCTTCTTTTTCAGGTCAACCTGATGGAATCTGATACACGACACTTGAGAACGACGGTTAAACTTCGTGATGAAAAAATAAGAAGATTGGAATTATTAGCTGATAACCAGATATCATCTGATGGCTATCTGATGGATGAAAATGCTGCAATGTTCCAAGAGATTCAGCTACTGCAAGAACAAATCAATGATAATTCTCAATTAACTCAGTTTGCTTTGGAAAACAAGAGATTAATTGAGCAAGTTAGAATGTAATATCCCAGTCATGCTGTTTCATAGCACTAATGATTTTAGTTTGTAGATAGAACACTTCACACAACAAGTCATAAACTTTGTGAACTTGAATGAACTACTTATAGCTTCTTGTACTAACCTCATATACAGGCTTGAGAAGTTCAGCAAGCAAGGGGAGCGAGAAATGTTATTAACAGAGATATCCCTTTTGCGTAATCATGTATATCCATCCTTCCTGATTTTTTTGATTAAAGTAAATCCATAGTACATAGCCTCTTTATTACTTTTTGGGTCTCATTTGCTACTCTCCTCTCATCATCTATGTGCAGTTCCTTCATATTCTTGAGCAGAAGTATGCAAGACCCCCTAAAAATATGGAAGCTCAGGTGTGTTCTTATCTGGATATCATTTTATTTATGAAAACAGTTATCTGATGGGGATGATTTTCTTTTGCGCTTCATCAAAGTGTAATGAGGAACAACCTGAATTATCTTTAGTGATTGATCTGGGACATTATGCATTTAGGGTGATGTGACTATCAAGGAGCTGGAGACCTGCAGGAAAGAATTGGATGCATGCTTAGAAAATAATGTTCTGCTAGCACGGTAAGCATTTATTCACTCTAATACTATAATCTGAACGAGCATTTACATTTACAAATTCAACAATTTCATTAAAGAAAAAGAAGTGCTCCAGAAGATGGGAATGATTCAATACTTCCACTGTGACAAAGAAAATGAAGCAGAAATATTCCATGACACTTACATTTTTTCTAATAAACTTGTCAAGTCTAAATTCCTTAAAATTCTTAATCTTTGAAGTCTACATTCCCATCTCCTCTGGAAGCTGCAACTCAATCCCACTGATCTAGGTTGCAAGCGCCCAGTGTAAACACTTATCTTCTTGAAACCAGATAAGACCTAAGTATTTCACTGATAATAAGAAACTTTGCACTGTACGTATGAAAAATAATATTCATTCCAATTCTTATTGTAAAAGAAACTTTCACATTGTGCTCTGATTATTTTCTCTTGATCTATCTAAATTTCTTAAATACCATGAACTGCTTTTTAGGTTAACTGTTGCACACGATATGGCTGCTATTTTTTAAAGGTTGGTAATTGGTTATGCATGCTGTTTTCGCAGTGAAGTAAATAAACTGCGCTGTGAACTGAAGCAGTACCAGAAGTGTGGTACAGGTCAAGTACGTACGGTATTTTCCCAGCCTTAATTCATTGTGCGTTTGTTCTGGTCAGAATTACATTCAGCTTGGATGCTCATTATCATTCAGGTTGCTCCTGAGGTCGTGGAGAGCTCTGTGATACCAGGGATCAATCAGAAGCAACATGTGAGATGTTATTTATAGTCATATCCTACAACTATGATTCACACTTGTTTTTTAGGGGAAAAAAACTATGATTCCAGTTACACACATAATTTACATATTTTTTACTTCATATCAGGATCAAGCAGGATGGTGTGGTTCATATTTGGCTTCAATTGATGTTGAAAGGCAATTCGTGGATGTTGGGATCACAACTGATATTACTGAATCACTTGAACTCACTCCACCTTCAGAAATTTATAGTGAAAACCAGGACTCTCCTTCTCGTTTGCATTTCTCTGATCCGGAGATATGTGATTTGAAGAACTCTACAAAAGTGCTAGAGTACAATTCTTCACGCAATCTACTTGACAAAGGCATTATTTTGAGTGGACAATTGGAGAATGAATGTGGATTAAATTCTGTACAAAATGATGAAATAAGTCTAGTAAAAGAAAATGCTGAGAAGATGTATGGTCATGACGAGATCTCAGTGTATCGTCAAAATGAAATACTGCATTCAAGTGAACAATTATTACAGGACGAATTGACACATATTAAAAGCTTAAATGAAGGTCTCAAAGAGAAGCTAATTATTATGGCTGAAGAAAGTACCAAGCTTTCAGAGATTATTGTTGCTAAAGATGTAGAAATTGCAACTTTGTCAGAAGAATGGGAGTCTGCAATTGTTGATCTGACAAGCTTCTTGACAGATGGTTGCAGTTCTTTAGATGATGCATATCAGAATATTGATAATATGATTAGCTCTTTTCCTTACAACAATCATTCCGTCAGTGAACATGTGGAGAAGGCTATGAAAGTTAGTATCGAGAAGGAAAAAATAATTTCTAGGCTTCAAATTGAGCTACAAGCTGCACAGAGAATGGGCAGGGAGGTGAAAGAAAAGTTGCACATTCTAAGAGGTGCTACTCTTGCTATAACTGAAGCTCAGCTGTTGGATAATGATGAATCCCAGGAAGCACTAAAACTATTAGATTTAATGCGTCAAAAAGATTGCACAGTACAAGAACTGAATGACAATGTGAAACAGAAGAGTTGCTTATTTGCAGAAGCAACAGAAGGGTATTCTCGTCATGAGTGTCACTTACCAGATAATGTGGGTACTGTAGCTGAAATAAGTCACAACCGAGATGGATCTGAAGTGAATCAAGCTAACACACACTACCAGGTATGCACCGAGTTTCTTACATGAGTAAAGTAGGAGATAGTGTTTGTTTACACAAATTCATGTATTTTAGGAGAAAGAAAATGTTAACAGTAGGATTTCCTTGAGTAAGACTACTTTGATCTTCCGATGGATATAACCATTCTTGAACATACTGGGCCCATTATCTGACTTCCTGCTTGCTCTCATGGTCCCCTTAACTGCTAACCACTTCTCAAGTAGATGTTATTTGGACATTCCATTTTACATTCTATCGGAAAAGATGAGGAAAAACTGAAATTACGATTAACAGTCACCTTCTGTAATGGTATTAATGCTTGTCTTTATTATTTTCATAAACTTTGTTCCTTAAATATATTATAATAGATGAACCAAGGTAATTGAATTATCTAGGGCCATGTACAGCAAGGATTATGCATTTATGCTTAACTGACATGTGCTTTATAGTGGTTGCAATAATTCTTGCCAGACACATTCATAATATGTTAAGTTATTTGTCAAACTTCTCACATAAAAATTGGTACAATTTTCTCAGATTTCTCAATCTGTAAAAGATGTTCTATCTTGGATACCATCTATCTTTCTATCAAGATATTAGCATAATATTGCATGAAACATGAGAGTGGCCTCTTTTTGTGAAATGCTATGTTCGTGCAAACATAATGACTTTCTTTTTACGTTCCACTCGATGTTCTTCCTTATGAATTAAAAACAATCTTATTAATAATGTACAATCTAATTGTTCAAATACCGTACAGGCAAAGCTTGAAGATGTGTTGCATCTTGTTGAAGACAAGTCAAATAAGGTTCTGGCCTTATTTTCAAATTTTGAGGAAGCTCAAGAAACCATGGAAGAAGCTGAAACTATGCTCTCATCTCTGTTGAAGGCCAATGAGGAGCTAAAACTTGAAAAAGACAGTTGCAGGCAAGCAGTGGAATTGTTGTTTGCTGAGAGAACTTCTTTGATCAATGATTTGCAGGAGCTTGAAGCGTCAAATTCATTTACAGCACAGAGGTATGACAAATTGCATGAACAGGTAAATGGATGTGTAGCAGAGATGACAAACCTTGCTACTATAATTAAAGAATCTTTTCATCAAGTACAAAGAGTTACTACAGTAGAACTATTTGCATTCTGCTCGGAGGTTATCAGTTTTGGCCAGGACTTGAGGAAATGGATATATGAATCAAGGTCTTATCTTGTTAACATGGGAGCACTTCTAGAAGAACAAGGCAATTCTTATGCTGAGCAGAACCGGCGCACTAATTCAAGTACTTATGCGGGAGTATCTCAACAAGTTGAGTCATGTTCACGTCAGTTGGGTGGTATGAATGGTGATATTTTTCCAGGAACATATATGGTCGTAGATGGAAAGGAAAAGGCATCTGTGCATGTAGTTCCCTTTGGCAGTAATGCAGAACTGGAAGATACCAATGTCGAAAGGACATTTGATATGGATTATGCATCCCTAAGAAGAGAGTTTGACAGGAAAAGTGATGTTGCAGAAGGATTATCTTTTGATCTTAAACTACTGCAAGAGTCTACATCACAAGCGAAGGACATGAAAGACAAAGCTGATGAAATATCAGATGCCCTTGTCAGTGTTCAAAGAGAACTTGAAAAGAAAACTTCTGCAATGGAAAGCATACTGAAACAACAAAAGGTGCTAGAGGAAGAGCTGGCTGAAAATGGAGCTGCACTCCTAATCTTAAGGTCTGAGTTAGAACATTCTGAAAGTTTGTCATCAGAGTTGTTCAAGGAAAACAACAATCTCAAAGTGATGTTGGAAGAGGAAGCTATGATGATTAGTGAAACAAAAGCAATGCTGGAAGACAAATCTAAGGTCATCGAGGGATTGGAGCACGAAATACTATTGCTTAATTCTTCTGAAGAGGGACGCTTGATGTCACAAATCAAAGAGTTAAATGATAATCTTAAAATTATAAGTATTGACAAAGGAAATCTCGAAGAAGAAATACTCAAGTTAACTGACAAGCTTGAAATGGCTGTGGCTTTAGCTGAGGAGAATGAAGCTGCTTCTATTGAAGCTCGTCAAGTAAGTATTACTAATGCCCTTTGTTCTTGATCCTAATTTAGATAAAATTAATTTGTCTTGCTTTTGTAGGCTGCAGAGATAAGTAAGGTATATGCTGAGGAGAAAGAGGAAGAGGTTAGGATTCTTGAACGTTCTGTGGAAGAACTTGAATCTACTATAACAGTTCTGGAGGAAGAAGTAAGCTGTTCAATACTCTGCTTTCTTTGGTGTTTTCTCTTCTTCACTAGGCTCTCTCTTTTGATGACTAGTCAGTTAGGCCTTCTATTGTTTGCTAAGTTAAATCTTCCTTTGGATATTGAGTAAAAAAATCGAGTTTCTAATAAATGGGTACCAGAAAAGGACATGGATAACAGTAATATCAGATAGCACATCAAAGAGGAAAGTTATGCTAGATAGCCTGGAATTCAACATCTCCATTGTAACTATGTAAAGGCTAATTCATGTGAATACATAGTTCGCCAGGTTTTAATGGAAATTATACATAGCACATCACATATTCTCTGTTTAACTGAAGGTATGCAACCTTAAAGAGGAAGTGAGGAGCTATCAAATATATAAAAAATCTGAAGCTGAACAAGCTCAAGAGATGTTCATTGTAGATAGCACATCAAAATGTGATGCTACAGAGCAATTGTGTCCAGGGAGATGCCAATTAGAAAAGTGAGAATTCTCTTCATCTGATTTTTTTATGAGACTGCCATCGTATCCTATTTTCAATTGTTTGTCAATTTTTACTCTTATGGTAGGAGGTTGAAAGCGGAGATTATTGCACATCAGGATGCTAGAAGAAAGATTGAATGTCTCACAATGGAAGCTAGTTGTAAAGATGAGGAGGTATATGCTTTAAATGTGGCACACCATTACTTTAGTTATGTCTATAAAAGGTATTCAAATACCTTCTCTTTTGTGTACATAGGTAAGGCAATACAAAGAGCACATAGCTGAGTTGGTCCTGCATTCAGAAGCACAGTCTTTGCTGTTTCAGGAGAAGGTATGAAACCTTCAACTGTTAGTATTGTCAATTTCATTATTTCTGTATTTCGTCAGAAATGCTTATAATTTGGGCTTTACAGTATCAGGAAATGGAGCACATGATTTCTAAACAGAAGTTTGGTCTACATGAATCTAATTCTGATACTGGCCATACCAAATTCGAAAAGCCTTCAGGACGGACTAGAGGATCTGGTTCACCTTTCCGATGCATATCTAGCATTGTTCAACAGATGAACTCTGAAAAGGATCAAGAAATCTCAGTGGCACGCCAGAGAATTGAAGAACTAGAAGGATTGGTTTGTAATAAACAGAAAGAGGTGACTTTATTGTACTTCAGGCCAATTGAATAACTAGAATTTTGTGACTGAAATTGGATAGAATAAGCAAATAACATTTTGATTAAATTCTAGAAATAGCCATTTCGGTAAAGATTATCTGGGGATCTTTTTTTTAAAAAAAAATGCCTGGGAAACAATGGAAAATAACTGTCTTTTATTCCTTCTCCTATAAAGTATTACAATTCATTACCCTGTGTTAAAAGAAGTACTCCGTACCTTATATCAGCTGCTTATATTTTCTCGTTCTTCATAGATCTGCATGCTAACATCAAGACTGGCCGCCGTTGATAGCATGACACATGATATTATAAGGGAGTTACTTGGTGTCAAATTAGACATGACAAACTATGCTGTAAGTTGCAGTAGTATATTAGTATCTACACACAGTATTAGGTCTTATTGTCAACCAGTTCACTGATATAGTGATATGTGATTTCTTCTTCTATACACAGAACATGCTTGATCAGGAAGAGTTGCAGAAATTGCTAATGGCTTCCCAGCAACAAATTGAACAGTCAAAGGCAAAGGTAGGCCACTATCAAATTCTTATTTTACACTTCTGATTTTTCTGGATCATTTAATAAGACAGAATTTCCTATCATCATGTGCTTTGTCAATCTAGGATGTGGAACTTGACATGCTAAAAGAACAATTTGATCATCTCATTCAAGAAAGAGACAGGTGATTCATATGTTTCCTGAAGGGATTTATGTTTACAGCACGATGAGCATTTCATTTCTTGGTCTTTCTTTGTCATTTGATACTGTTTATCAATTAAATTATTGAAACCATGCTTACACCATGTTGGATACTGTTTCCTTATAGCTTGTTTGATGATATGGACCAAAGAAAGGCGGACTTGTTGGAGAGCCAACTGCTCATAGAACAGCTTGAGCAACGGGAGCAAATGCTTGAAGCCCAGAACGGAATTTTACAGGTTGAGATAATATCTGCAACTATTTTTTTTTCACACATTATATCTGCAACAATCACACACCATCACACAAATAGCATTCTGCTATTGGACTATTAAATACCTGATTACATTCATATTAAACCGTTATTCTCTGTTATTGTAGATGGAGAAAGATAACCTTCAACAGAGGATCATGGAAATGGACGAGGAAATCCAATTGCTAGTTGGCTCAAATCAAGCGATTGCTGAGACAACGTTCCAAATGGTGAAACAACTTTCAACCATGGCAACCATTTCCATTATTACAAATACTATCATTTTGTTCTTACAAAATCACTTCAACAGGGGAGCAACCATCGTTCCGCCAACAGTGAATTCAGCAGGAGGCTGGCTCAATCGGATATGCTTCTCTCCCACGCGAGACATGAGCATTCACGCTTGCAAGCTGCTAAAAGCTCCAGGACGCGTCGTGGTAGTCATCAATGAAGGCTGGAGCGGAACATGAATCAGATCAGACACTTCTTGTGTCTGCAGCACCACCTCTCTGACGCTACAGGCCTACTTTTTTCTGAAGATGTAGGGTTAAAAATGGTGATGACTGCAAGAAACATTGTATATGAGGTACATCCATCCAGTGTATTTATGATTTGTGCAGATTTCCGTCGTATGTACAGTACTACCGTACATGGTAGCAACGGCTTATTGAAACTTTTCTCCAACGAGTGAGTCATTGAGGGGGTGTTTGGCCCCTTTCACAGAACCATAAGTCTCTAGGGGAGGGAATTATACTTTTATGAGAGAGACCAAAGTTTAATCCTTCCTTCCCAAACACCACCTGAGATGGTTGTTCGTAGCTCTTGGTTGCTTGATCTGTCCTGCACACTAGTGCGTACTATTCTATTATTTAATGTTCTTCATCGTTACATTGTTAGTTACTTACTACTTTCATCCCAAAACATAGACAAGGTATGCCTTTTTTTGGGAGATATAGACCTAGAAATTATTATATTTTCCTCCGATGCAGCCCACGGAGACAAGGTATGCCTTTTTTTTCCTTTTCTTTTCTTTCGTTTGTTTTTGTAATCCTTATACTCTACTACTACATCTAATTACTTTTTCTTTTGTAGTTTTACGTATTTATGCCTTTCAATGTATTCAAAAGACAAGAATAATTGACTTACAGTTTTGCAAAAACAAATCCAACTATTTGCAAATAAGAAATACTCCCACTATCTCAAAATAAACCAATCTTAAATAGAATGTGTAATTTTCTAGCATGTTCATATTCATTATAATATGAAATATTTCATTCCATTATAGATTCATTTATTTTGAGACGTATTAAGTATTCAACAGGGAGTATACTAATTAGGTACACGGGACTATATATATATTGGTGCATATACATCTCTTTAGGTGCACGGGACTGCATATTTATTGAACGAAAATAAAGCGGTGCATACATACATTGTTTCACACACAGAGTCGGAAAGAGATAAATTGTTTCACACACATATATCTCTTACCATGCATGCATATCGATTAATTATCAAAGAGCAAGTTAACGTATATATATGTAATCAGATGTAGCATTCGTAGAGCTTGATGTCCATCAGCAGCCTGAAGTAGGTGAATCCCTCGACGGCGTCGGCGCGGAGCGTGGCGACGCCACGGGACATGAAGAAGTCGCCGGTGCCTCCCACCACGGAGATGTCCCTCGTCGCGGTGCTGGGGTCGGCGTGTTAGATAGATCTCCCTCCCCTTGAGCCCAACGGCTCAAGGGGGCCTTGACCGCGCCCTGATCGGGGGCGCCTAGCCCAATGGCTGGTGGGCCCCCGTCACACTGCGCCATATAAAAGAGGGGTGGAGGCCGGCACGGCACAACGTACGAAGTTCACCGCCGCCGCCAACTCCACCCCACAAAACCCTAATCCGATCGAGAGGGGGCGCAGCCAGTGACGGGAAACGCCACCGCCGCGCCACGCCTCATCGCCGGGACGTCTACGACCACCACTGCCGCAGCCGTCATCACCGTCGACCTCACCGGCGCCGCATCCACGTCAAGCCGCGACGACAACGACGATGTCTGGCGCCTCTTCCTCCACGAACTCCTCAACCGGTCGGTATCTAAACCCTCTCCCTTTCATCTAGAATGTCGTTCATCAAACCCAAATAGAACCACCCGACTAGATCTAACCTAGGTGATCCTAGTGCAAAGTTCAACAATGGTATCAGAGCAACCCTAGGGCTTAGATCGGTTCGGGAAAATAAATCCAAAGAAAGAAAAGCACAAGATCCGCACGGATCAAAAGAACCAAAAACCCTAACCCTAATCTTACCTCGTCGCCGGCCGTCGTCGACGCCGGCAACGGAGGGGGGGAGGGGCAAAGAGGCGCCGCCTAGGAGCCACTCGACGGCCGCGCGCGCACCTGCACGCGCGTGCCGGCGAGGGGGCCCGCGGCGGCGCCGCCATCTCCGTCGTCGCCATCTCTCTCTCACACGGTGGGGGTTAGAGACGGTGGGGGAGCGGAGAAGAAGAGAAAAGAAAGGAGCGCCGGCCATGGCGCGGCGGCGCGAAGGTCGCCGGCGATGGCGACGCCGTCCACGCGGTCGCGTGAGAGAGAGAAGAGAAGAGAAGCTAGGGTTTTTCGGCGGCCGGCCGGGAGAGGGGGGTTTTGATCCTCCGATCTCGGCGCCCGGCCGTCCGATCGAAACCCTAGCTGATCGGACGGTCGACGCCGGCCGGGCCGAAATCGGCCCAAGAAGGCGCGCGCGGGGGGCGGTTTTCCTGGCCCAGGCCCAGGTTGCGGCTTGGGGAAAGGGGGCGCCCGCCCATGCCAAAAGGGCCGTTGGCCGCCGGCAAAAGTTCAAATTAGGTCCCTCGGGGGCCGAAAATGAATAAAAGAGAACAGTAGCAATTTTCCATTTTATTTTGTCAATTTTCATGCAAATTTCAATAGAATTTTGAATAGTTTTTTGCATGTTTTACCTCTGTTTAAATTTGAACCAACGGGAGAATTTTCACAGAGAGAGAATTACAGAGATTTTGCTACTGTTCATATGATTTTTATATAGTTTTCCGCTGCAAATAGATGTAATTGATGAAAATTAGTGTTTCTAAAATTAAATTTCGAACCAACGGGAGAATTTAATTTTAGGAACATTAAGTATGTGCTATGATGTTGTAATTTTCTGACCAACGTTGTTAATTGCAATATTATAGTTATGGTTATATGTGTTATGTCTAATTCTGCCCAACGGTGATGTAGGCTTAATGCATAATATTTTAATGTTAATTTTGTTCTCACCGCACATGATTATTTCAGGTGGCTACTCCTTGATGGGTTGCATTAAAGATATTCCGACCCTAAAAGGAGATAACTACGCAGAATGGAAAAGAAAACTCGACCTTGCTTTTATCTTGGGAGAGGTGGACTGGGTATTGACTACCCCATGTCCTATAGAACCTGCTGAACTTGTCAGAGGTGAAAATGAGTCAGATGCTGACTGGCAAAAGAGACAGAGGGACAATGCTCCTCTCGTCATGTCGTATGACATTGAACAAAAGAAATGGTCCTTAGCCAACAAGAAATGTTTGGCTGTGGTAAAGAATACGATTGAGCCTACCATATTGGGCTCGATCCCAGAGTGTGACGCTGTCTCAGAGTACCTTGAAAGAATAAAGAGTCAGTTTACTGGCTCTTCAAAGACTTATGCTACACAGCTGATCAAGCAGCTTGTGACAGAAAGGTACCATGGAGGTGGTGTTAGAGACCACATACTTAGAATGAGCAACATGGCTTCCAAGTTGAAGCCAATGGATTTGGGCATAACAGATGACTTTCTGGTCCATCTGGTTATGGCCTCATTGCCAAAGTAGTTTGACAATTTTATTGTCAACTACAACATAAGTCCAGAGAAATGGAACTTTGAGAAGCTCATTGCTAATTGTGTGCAAGAGGAGGAGAGATTCAAAGAATCAAATGGTGGTTCAATAAACTATGTTAAAGATAAGAAAAAGAACCACAAGTCTCCCACCTCAAAAGGTAAACAGTCTCAGCATCTGCCTCAGCAACAACAGTTCGCTGTTGAGAAAGATCAATGTCTCCACTGCAAGAAGACAGGACACTACAAGAAAGATTGTCCTGACTTTTTGAAAATGATCATGGCAAAGAAAGGTGAGAACATTATTACATTTGTAAATGAATCTCATTATGTTGGTTACTCTAGATCCACATGGTGGATTGATTCTGGAGCAACTATTCATGCTTGTAATTGTTTAAAGGCATTCCGTTCGACGAGGACTACGCAAAGAAGAGAAAGCACCATTAGAGTTGCCAATGGAGTTGAAGAAAAAGTTGAAGCTGTTGGAGATCTTCCTCTAGAGCTCGCGAATGGCTTCATACTTTTACTTCGAGATGTCTTTTATGTTCCTTCTTTGCAAAGAAACTTAATAAGTGTATCAAAGTTGGATTTTGATGGATATGATTGCCGCTTTGGAAGTGGCAAATGTGAACTATGGCATAATAATGCATGTATTGGTCTTGCCGTGTTGCGAGACGAGCTTTATTTGTTATCTCTTTTTGAGAATGTGAATGTTGTGTCCTCGTTGACAAAAGAAAACAAGAAAAGAAAGCGAACTCCCGATGTCTCATCGAAATTATGGCAATGTCGTTTGGGCCATATTTCGAGGGGGAGAATTGAGAGACTAGTTAAGAATGAAATTCTTCCTCCATTGGAGTTCTCAGACTTAGAACAATGCATAGAATGCATTAAAGGAAAATTTGTAAAGAGCATCAAAAAGGGTGCAAAACGAAGCGCAGGAATTTTAGAGATCATTCATACAGATATTTGTGGTCCATTTCCTGTAAAAAGTGTGGATGGCTATGACTCGTTCATAACATTCACAGATGATTACTCCCGCTATGGTTATATTTATCCAATTAAAGAGCGATCAGAAGCACTGGATAAATTTAAGATATTCAAAGCTGAAGTTGAAAATCAGCTTGATATAAAGATTAAAGTAGTAAGATCTGACCGTGGGGGAGAGTACTATGGTCGACATACGCCTTATGGGCAAGTCCCTGGACCTTTTGCAAGGTTCTTGCTAGAGAATGGAATAGTAGCCCAGTATTCAACACCGGGCGAACCTCAACAGAATGGGGTAGCTGAAAGGCGCAACCGTACGCTTATGGATATGGTGCGCAGCATGATGAGCTACTCCACACTACCACTCGGTTTATGGATGGAGGCGTTAAAAACCGCCATTCATATTCTCAACAGAGTTCCAAGCAAATCGGTGCCCAAAACACCGTATGAACTATGGACAGGGAGAGTACCCTCGCTAACTCACCTCCGTGTGTGGGGGAGTCCTGCAGAGGCCAAAGTATTTAACCCAAATATTGGGAAGTTGGACCCCAAAACAGTCAGCTGCCATTTTATTGGCTATCCTGAAAGATCAAAAGGCTATCGTTTCTACTGTCCAAACAGTTATACAAAGTTTGTAGAAACGAGACACGCCGTCTTCTTGGAAGACGAAATGATTAGGGGGAGCTCGGTAGTTCGAGAAATTGATCTTGAGGAGAGGCGGGTGTCTGTACCCGCTCCGTCGACTCAGGAACCTTTCTTCTCTCTACCTGCTGATGTTGTGCCTGCAATGCCTGTCATTGAGGTACCAGCACCTGTTGTTACCCCTCCTGTGGCAACAATGAATGAGAGTGAGGAACCTGTTATACAGGATTCAACAGAAATGGTTGCCACACCAGAGGAGGAGCTACAACAGCCTCAAATAGATAATGTGCCAATACAGGAGACTCATCAAGAGCCTCAGGTACAGGATGTGCCAAATGTGCAGGCCCCTAGAAGGTCTGAAAGAGTCAGAAGATCGGCTATCCGTGATGACTATAAAGTTTATAATATAGAAGAGTCGCATATGGAGGATGATCCCACCTCATATGAAGAGGCCATGAGAAGCGCTCGCTCATCTGAATGGTTGGAAGCCATGAAAGATGAAATGAAATCAATGAAACTAAACGATGTTTGGGATTTAGAAGAAATTCTTAAAGGAGCCAAAACAGTAGGCTGTAAATGGGTCTACAAAACCAAATATGACTCCAGAGGGAATATAGAAAAGTTTAAAGCGCGACTTGTGGCAAAAGGCTTCACGCAACGAGAAGGGATTGATTACAATGAGACATTTTCTCCAGTCTCTTGTAAAGATTCCTTCAGGATTATAATGGCACTAGTGGCACATTATGATTTGGAATTACATCAGATGGATGTAAAAACGGCATTTCTAAATGGAGATTTGGAGGAAAAAGTATACATGGCGCAACCGAAAGGTTTTGTCATGAAAGGAAACGAAAATATGGGATGTCGTCTAAAGAAATCCATTTATGGATTAAAGCAAGCTTCGAGACAGTGGTACTTGAAGTTTGATGGGACAATAAAGAAATTTGGGTTTCAAGAGAATGTCGAGGACAACTGTATTTATTCAAAGTTTAAGAATGGGAGATTTATTTTCCTAATTCTGTATGTGGATGACATTCTACTGGCTAGTAGTGATGTCAGTCTACTGCAGGAAACAAAGAAATTCTTGTCCTCAAACTTTGACATGAAAGACCTCGGTGAGGCTTCATATGTTTTGGGCATAGAGATTCACCGAGATAGAACAAAGTATGCATTGGGACTTTCTCAAAAGACATATAGAAAAGGTGTTGAAGAAATTCAACATGTACAGATGCAGTGCTACACCTGCTCCTATAATGAAAGGCGAAAAGTATGGGGCATCGCAATGTCCCAGAAATCAGTATGAGCTCAATGAAATGAAAACAAAGCCATATGCATCAGCTGTAGGAAGCCTACAGTACGCGCAAGTGTGCACACGACCTGACTTGGCATTCGTTACCGGGTTACTTGGCAGATTTCAGAGTAATCCAGGCCTAGAGCACTGGAAATTGGTAAAGAAAGTCTTGCGTTATTTGCAAGGAACAAAAGGCCTCATGCTATCTTACAGAAGATCAGAATCACTCCAAATAGTGGGGTACTCAGATTCTGACTTTGCAAAAGATAATACAAAGTCAACATCGGGATACGTGTTTACCCTGGCAGGAGGAGCTATTTTATGGAAAAGCTCAAAACAGACTATCACTGCAGGGTCTACTATGTATGCCGAGTTTATAGCATGCTATGAGGCAACGGGGCAGGTGAACTGGCTAAAGAAGTTCATACCCGGTTTAAAGGTGGTTGACAGTATTGAGAAACCACTAAAGTTATACTGCGACAACGAACCCGCAGTAATGTACGCTCACAACAATCAGTCAAGTGGTGCTGCCAAACACATTGACATAAAGTACTATGTTGTGAAGGACAAAGTCCGGGATCAAACAATCAGTCTCGAGCACATTAAAACAGAAAGGATGCTCGCGGATCCGCTCACGAAAGGCCTACCACCCAACGTGTTCAAGGAACATGTAGCCGGCATGGGTTTAAGGGAAGCCTTATGAATCCTGGACTACAGGGCCCAAAAGTAAAGTATCTGTTTCTGAATAGAGTTGTGTATAGTGGCTGTCGAATCCATCGGTGATTGACCGTGACGATGAAACATGCTCTATTTACAAATCTGTGATGGAATAGAAAAAGCTAAAAGAAAAAGTGAGATCAAGGGGGAGAATGTTAGATAGATCTCCCTCCCCTTGAGCCCAACGGCTCAAGGGGGCCTTGACCGCGCCCTGATCGGGGGCGCCCAGCCCAATGGCTGGTGGGCCCCCGTCACACTGCGCCATATAAAAGAGGGGTGGAGGCCGGCACGGCACAACGTACGAAGTTCACCGCCGCCGCCAACTCCACCCCACAAAACCCTAATCCGATCGAGAGGGGGCGCAGCCAGTGACGGGAAACGCCACCGCCGCGCCACGTCTCATCGCCGGGACGTCTACGACCACCACTGCCGCAGCCGTCATCACCGTCGACCTCACCGGCGCCGCATCCACGTCAAGCCGCGACGACAACGACGATGTCCGGCGCCTCTTCCTCCACGAACTCCTCAACCGGTCGGTATCTAAACCCTCTCTCTTTCATCTAGAATGTCGTTCATCAAACCCAAATAGAACCACCCGACTAGATCTAACCTATGTGATCCTAGTGCAAAGTTCAACACGGCGCCCATGAGGCTGAGCGTGCCGCGGCGCGCCGTGGAGTTGAACACGACGGAGAAGGCGAGCCACGCGTTCAGCGTCGACGCCGCCTTGCCGTCGTAGAGGTAGAGCCCCTGCGCCCTCACCGCCGTCTCCTCCAGCGACGGCGGCAGCGCGCTCGTCCCCTCCGTCATCGGGTCGTTGAACACCACCGTCGTGCCGAAGATGGTGGTGTTCTTCGCCGCCCTCAGCAGCGCCGCCGGCGAGGCGACCACCGCCGACGTCGAGTTGGCCGTGCTGTTGCTGAAGTCGTAGAGGATGTCGTGGAAGTAGAGCCTCATCTCCTTGCACGGCTCGTCGTAGCTCCTGACGAACCTCCTGCCGCCGCCGCCGCCATGGACGACGGTCGCCGAGCTGAGGAGGAGGCCGGCGACGAGGAAGATGGCGGCGACGATCAGAGACGCCTTGGACCAAGTAGCTTGCATTGTTACTCTTGCTTGAGGTAATTAATTAATGTACCACTTGGCTTAATTGATTGATTAAGCTTGCTTTCTTGCAGCTGTTAGCCTGTGATCGATGTGGCGAGCTCGATCGAGATTTGCGTACCTATTTATAGTGATGAGAAAGGTTTTGCATGCATGCATGGATATATTATATATATTTCTTGCTGGTCCGATTCTCTGGTCCTGAACTCCTGATACTGATGTTTCATTTAATTAAGAAATTAAATGGAATATAAACTTGGCTTCTACATCAAGCCGGATGCACATAGCCATGTCCTACTGCTGATGTATACGGTACTAGGGAAAATTGCTAGAAGAGATAGCACGTCTCTTTCAAAAAAAAAACATTATAAATCTCAAGAAAGCAAAAGAGATTTGTTTAGTAGTACTCCCTCCAATGCCAGAAGAGTAATTGTTAATATTTTCGACAAGGTTAAAGTTAAACTACTAGTAACTAAAAAAATTAGTTTAAATAAACTAGAATAACACATATAGAATAATCTAAAGGTACTATAATAGAAATAAATATTTATTTATTGTATACATTATAATAGAAAATCATAGCAAAGATATGTTTTGAAAACCGTGTCATTATAAAGAAAAAGTCAAAAATTATAGAACCGGAGAGAGTATTTATTATATATTGAGATACGGGTGGCATATCTCAAATTTTACAAATATAGGGTGGCATGGTTCGAACAAACCCTATAAAGTAATACACCTTCATCTAAAATATAGTGACTATTGGTTACCAATATGAACATACTTTTATCTAAATTCGTTGCTAAATTATTATATATATTTTGAGACGGAGGTAGTAATTTCTTTTTATGTTATAACTAACACCCGATATGTTAAGAACTAACGCATATGATGTTGGAAAGCCACCAAGGTGCCAAGGTTAGTGGGCAAACCTCAAAGAAAGGAATAAGAGGCTTCTCTGACTGATTTTAACAACGGCTATTACATGTTTCCTGTGTGTTTTTATGCGGCAAGAATATTAAAATCATGGTTGGAGAAAAGATATTTGATAAATACATGGTATGGTAGAGTAGTTGCTGAAAGTACAACATCTAACAAGGACATGTTAACAAAATAGCACTATTGAAAACGAGTTGTCGTCATTGGTAGGAAAAATGAGTTGTACAGGACAAAAATAACGTGAGGTTTCTTCTTATGTGGAATAGGAAGTTGCACTGATTGTCCTGTGAAGGGGTTGCCACCAAGGTGTATTTTCCATCATATATATACTACCTCCGTCACATAATAACTATATTTCTAGAATTTAAATTTGACCCAAAAAGTTGTCATAATAGAGTATTAATTGTCCTATCAATCACTTCTCATCCAAATTTCTCTCTGTTCTACCCTCAGCCACCCTCCCACTTTTATCTATACACTATTCAATGAGGGGCATCATAGTCTTTTTTTCTCAAACCTTTATATATATATATATATATATAGTAAATTTGTTTGGTGCTCCATGGTGCCCGGGCACCATGATTGAAATTTACTATATACCCAATTCAAATGAGTATGAAACTTTTTCAAATATTTAGGTATTAACGTTAACTACTTTAGTAACTAGTTCAAAGCAAGTTTGAACTGAATTCAAACTTGCTTTTGTTAGATTTTGATTCCAGGTATATAGCATCCAAACATATAATTAGTTAGGTATGTAATAATGGATTGTGAAATAAAGTTAAATTTGAGTTGTTTTGTTGCTAGGTATAGGTATGAATCGAATACTTATAAGTAGGTATATACTCACAATTTGAAAATTTTGAAAAATTTGGGCGAATTTGTGTATTTCATACCATGGTGCCCGGGCACCATGGTGCCCCATATGAGTGTCCTATATATATATATATATATATATATATGCCAAACAACCTATAATTATAATTATTTTGAGACGGAGGCAGTATATCACAATATGGCTTGACGAGTATGTGACTAGAGTGAAAAAATTCACATTGGGATCAAGAGAACATAATATATTGAACCTATAAGTTTATTTAGGGTAAGGATATATATAAAAAAGCAAATACACTGACTATATGTGTTGATTAATGTTGGGTTTAAATGTGTCAATGAGATATTTTTGTCTTTAATATTTTAATAGTTGTACTACCCAAATTATAAGGAGCATTCACATTCCATGAAATATGACCTGTATTTTTGGCATAATATTAGTGCAATAAATCTAGCCGCGTGCCAATGGCCAATGCATGGGCGTCGGGCAACCCCAATAGTAGTAAAACTATCTTTAACGCAAATCTATATACAACCAATTTACATAATAAAACCGGTATATATTACCGTTTAAAGTGGACTCAAAAGATAACCCAAAAAACATCAGTCCTATCATTTCACCAACAGCTAATTATAAGACGTAACCCTTGTTAGTTAGAAAATAATTTGAGGGTAAAATTTTATGTGTTCCTAATGAATTAAAAATTAATGCTGAAAATAAAACTTGATAAAAAAATTCAAAATTAACTCTAAAATTAAAATTTTGGTTGCTACTAATAAGCTGAAGAGCAAACGGTAGAGCGATACAATAAGTAGAAGCGGACCAGACATTAATTAGGCATCCCGGGTCATAGCCCGGGAAATGGGATCTCTTGCCCTTTATAGCCTGTTTGTTTTTTCCACCATGGATGGACTCTCAAAGTCCAAACTGCAATAGGCCACAGGTTGTGGCCCAATTCTGGGTCCACCTCTAACTATAAGAGTGTAACGAAAGAACTCATAAAACTAATTGTTATATAAATGCATCTTTATTGTATGAAAATGAAGATGTGATACATTGTCAACAGACTGTCAGAAAAGACAAACTGGTTTGAGTTACATTTATTTGCACATTCATTCTTGCATATCACTATCAGTACTCGTCGTAAAACAAACCGGTATCGAGATAGAAATTCCAAAAAAAAAAAAAAACTAAACATCACGTTAAATATATATAAAACGTGCATCACGTGTGCAATATATATATATATATATATATGTATACATATATATATATATATATATGTATACATATATATATATATCAGACGTAGCATTCGTAGAGCTTGATGTCCATCTGCACCCGGAAGTATTTGAATCCCTCGATGGCGTCGGTGCGAAGGGTGGCGACGCCGCGCGACATGAGGAAGTCGCCGGTGCCGCCCACCACGGAGATGTCCCTCGTCGCGGCGTTGGGGTCGGCGCCCATGAGGTTGAGCGTGCCGCGGCGCGCCGTGGAGTTGAACACGATGGAGAAGGCGAACCACGCGCTGAAGTCGTCCTTCTTGTCGAGAAGGTAGAGCCCCTGCGCCCTCACCGCCGTCTCCTCCAGCGACGGCGGCAGCGCCCTCCCCTCCGTCATCGGGTCGTTGAACACCACCACCCTGCCGAAGAAGTAGCCGGGGCTCGACACGGCGGTGCTCAGCGCCGTCGGCTTGGTGGCCGCCGCCGACGTGGAGTTGGTGGTGCTGTTGCTGTAGTCGTAGAGGATGTCGTGGAGGTAGAGCCTCATCTCCATGCACGGCTCGTCGTAGCTCCTGACGAACCTCCTCCTGCTGCTCCGGCCATGGACGACGCTCGCCGAGGTGAGGCTGAGCAGGAAGATGGCGGCGACGATCATCAGAGACGCCATGGACCAAGCTGCCATCGATCTGGGCCTAGCTTGCAGTGTAATGGAGCTAGCTAATTAAGTAGCTGAACTTAACTAATTGAATAACCTGTGATCGATCAGCTCGTGAGAATTAAGCTAAGCGCGCGCATGCAAAACAGTACGTGTTAGCTGCAGCTTTTATTAGCTGTGATGTGGAGCTCGAGTTGCGCATGCTTACTAATTTATAGGAGATGTGGGGCTCGAGTTGTGCATGCTTATTAATTTATAGGAGATGGCGGAAAAGGGAATATTTCCTAAACTAAACCAACCTCTGAGTATAATAATATTATTGTACCAGATATGCAGTGGCGTAGCTAGAATTTAGAGTAAAAGTGGTCTATCTATATGTAATAGATCAATTAAATGGGTGGCCTACTATATAATTTTTATTATATTAACTCACACATATACTACAGTTTTAATCTCGATCAAATTTTTAGATGGTCCATGGACCACAGTGCCACATAGCTAGCTACGCCACTGCAGATATGTCAGATACAATTACTGCTAGGGGTCGTTCAAGGGGTCGTGGAGGTCCATTGATAACTTACCAACATCATTTCAATATTGAAATCTTTAGGGCCCCTTTGATTTGTAGGAAAAATGTAGGAATTTTGGAGGATTTTAATCCTATGGAAAAAATCCTATGAAAGCCTTTGAAAACAAAGGATTGAATCCTATCCAATCCTTTAAAATTCCTATGGAATGGGTAATCCTATGCACATTTTGGAGGAAAGTTAGCAAGAGGTCTAACCTCTTGGAACATTTCCTCTGAGTCTATCTCTCTCATCTGATTCCTGTGTTTTTTCTGTGGTCCAATTAAACGGTCATTCCTGTGTTTTTTCCGTGTTTTGCAATCCTCTGTTTTACAATTGTATTCCTGTCAGAATCCTGTGTTTTTCCTATTCCTCTGTTTTTTCATTCCTACGATTCAAAGGGGCTTTAATGTGGTACATGACCAACCTAGGCCCCCTTTGATTCAAAGGAAATTCATAGGAATTTTAAAGGATTTCATTTCTATAGGAATTTTTCCAATATAGTCCTTTGAATCAAAGGAAAGAATCCTATGTAATCCCATGAAATTCCTATGGAATGCCTCTTCCCATGCAAGATTTGGAGGAAATTTAGGCCCCCTTTGATTCAAAGGAAATTCATAGGAATTATAGAGGATTTCATTTCTATAGGAATTTTTCCTACAAAGCCCTTTGAATCAAAGGAATGAACCCTATGTAATCCTATGAAATTCTTATAGAATGTCTCTTCCCATACAAGTTTTGGAGGAATTTTAACAAGAGGTAAAACCTCATGGAAGAAATCCTTTAAGTCTTTATCTCTCCTCAAATTCATGTGTTTTTCCTGTGGTCCAATCAAACGGTCATTCCTATATTTTTCCTGTGTTTTGCAATCCTCTGTTTTACACTTACATTCCTGTCAGAATCCTATGTTTTTCCTATTCCTCCGTTTTTTTCATTCCTTTGATTCAAAGGGGTCCTAAAGCATGGGGTTCTACCTCATGTTAAAAATCCTTTGAGGGCCCCTTTGATTTGTAGGAAAAATGTAGGAATTTTGGAGGATTTCAATCTTATGGAAAAAAAAATCCTATGAAGGCCTTTGAAACAAAGGATTGAATCCTATCCAATCCTTTAAAATTCCTATGGAATGGGTAATCCTATGTATATTTTGGAGGAAAGTTAGCAAGAGGTCTAACCTCTTGGAACATTTCCTCTGAGTCTATCTCTCTCATCTGATTCCTGCATTTTTCCTGTGGTCCAATCAAACGGCCATTCCTGTGTTTTTCCTGTATTTTGCAATCCTCTGTTTTACAATTGTATTCCTGTCAGAATCTTGTGTTTTTTCTATTCCTTTGTTTTTTTATTCCTACGATTCAAAGGGGCCCCGAGTCTTTATCTCTCCTCAAATTCCTGTGTTTTTTCCTGCGACTCAATCAAACGGTCATTCCTATATTTTTCCTGTGTTTTACAATCCTCTATTTTACACTTATATTTCTGTCAGAATCCTATATTTTTCCTATTCCTCCATTTTTTTTATTCCTATGATTCAAAGGGGCCCTAAGATTTGGCCCTGAGCTTAGAAAAATCCTGGGTCCGCCACTGTTCTGAGTGGTAGATTAATCTGAGCTAGTTGTTAGGATAGAAAGAGGAAGTAAGACGAGCAAATTGTTTATTCTCAATTCGGAGTTGTTAGGACAGACAGAGGAATCAAGTGAGACCTACGCAAAGATACTACTGTTACTCTGGCCTGTTGCTTTAATTTGCTTGATTCTGAAGCTGATAAATGTACTGTGGATTATGTACCGTAGGGTTAACTAGCCAGAGAAGCTGGCTACTGCTGATTAGCTAGCTAGTGTTTGCTGGCTTTATTGCTGCAGCTGCGGTGGAGCTAGAGTGGAGACTAACGCCGCGTCCTTCCCCGTATGAGTGACTTTCCCTGCACCAGAAGCCGAAGATTGTTGATCATCCTCCACCGATGCAGAACCCTACTCGATCGGCGCAACCACCACTTATTATTATTATTTTACATTTTAGAACTTTTTAAAAACTTATTTTACAAAATAAATCTCTAAAAGAACTTATTCCGGGAATAGATTTTTTTCCGCAATGTCAATATCGTTAGCACAATGATCCAACATGATGACGCCAAAGACATTGACGCTGCCCCTCTAATCTCCCCGCGGAAGTTAAGCCACTTATATTGTAACGCCCTGAAAATCATCCTAAGTTTAAATCGTGCTTTAATACATTTCTAGAAATTTTTATAGTCTAAAAGAGCCTTCGACAATTAAAACTCACTAAGATTTAGTCAAATTGGCTTGTGAATATTTTTAATAAATTTCCCCATGCTTCAAAATGTGTAACCAATTTTTACTTGAATTTTCAGAGGATCTTGAATAAGTTTAAGACAACAAAAACAATTAAAGGAATTTTATAAAAGTAGTAATATTTTTAACCCAAGACTAATATATCATGAAAATTTATTCAATTATAGATTTAATGAAACTATGCTAGTGCTGTAAATATTACTACTTTTTTCTATAGAGTTAGTCAAACTTATAGTAGTTTGACTTTGACCAAACTCAAAACGTCTTATAATCAGAAACGGAAGGAGTAGCTAGCAAGTATCTATGGCTGGAGCAATGGCTAACGCCCGATATCACCACCCCTAGCGGCGTGTCGGCGGTGAGGCTGAGTACCCACTGCTAGAGCAGCGGCTGACGGCCAACATCACTAGAGTTTGAAGAGCTAGGGCGCCGCCGAATGGCTGGAGAAAGGATATAGTGATGGTTTGTTTGGGGAGCTTCTAACTGCTGCAACTTCTCTCAGAATCAGAAGCTCCGCAAATAGACCAACTTTTGGTCCAGATTCTGAGAAGATGTAGTTGTAGAATCCAAAAGCTCCCCTAAAAACTTTTGGAACCCAGCTTTTCCAGATTCTCAAAAACTGGCTACCAACCAGCTACTTCTCAGAACTTAAGCTCCCCCAAACTAGCCTAGGGAGGGTAGCTGGAGAGGGCCGGGATTTCCGGTCACTGGCGAGATGGAGAGGGAGGGCAACCGGAGGTGGGAAGCGGATTCCTGGGCATTGCTGCAGCGGATCAATGCTGATGGGAATTCGTCAACCGAATGGGAACGAGAGAGAGAGAAGAGGAAACCGATGGTCTTTCTCACCAGGTCTCTCTCCTCCTAGCCTTATGGCCTGAGAACGTGCGTCGTGGACTCGTGGGTGCATATGCACGAAATAGTATTTCCGAAGCGCAAGGGGCTTCTTTGACTGATTTTAACAATGGTTATTGCATGTGTTCATATGTGCTTTGATGCGTCAAGAATATTAAAATCATTTTAGGAGAAAAGATATATAATTGATAAATACTAGTACATCGTATGGTAGAGTAAGCTGCTGAAAGTGCAACATCAAACATGGACATGTTAACATATTGAAAACGAATAGCCATGGGTAGGAACAAAAAGGAGTTGGAGAAGAAAAAACGATGAGAGAAGAGTTGGTAGCAACATTTAGTAGGTATCACATTGTTTTATTTGGTAAGAAGAATAGTTTAGATCCAAACTGTAACCAAAACAGTAATGAAGTTGCCAATCAACTTATAGGACACAATTTTTTTTGGCAATCTAAAATGGCCTGAATTTGCTGGGATTTTACGAGAAATATAGCACAAGTTGCGTTCATGAAAAGAAATATAGCACAAGTTGCGCGAGGTGTCTACAAATCGGGCATCAGGCGCTGTTCCACCAAGCAGATCGAAAATATTTCAATCGTTTAAAAAGCTAAAACACAAACAAATCACTTTATGAAATATTTTGTTACAACGTATGAAACAAATAGTTTTCAAAAAATCGGGTGCTGTTTCACCATATATAAAACAATGTTTCAGCAAATAGCGAAAGGATGTTTCAATTCACTGCAACATTTGATCTATACATAGTGAAATATTACGAGTACACTTGCTGAAATATTGTTGGTAAAACAAAAATTAAAACGGATTACTTTAATAGAACATTTTCATAATATGTGGGTAATTTGTTGCAACAACGCATGTGGTGGGACACGTGGTGGGAACGGCACAGAGGACCAGGAGGAGGTGCGGGAAGGGGCTGGCACCGATTTTTATGGCGCTGATCGGACAACCGATCCCCAACATTTTCGCAAGTTGTGTTCGCGAAAAAAAAAATATTGCACAAATTGCGTTCGCGAAAAAAAAAAGTTATTCGGCGCCAGTAGGCCCAGTACACTCTTTCCTTCGGCCAGAATCCCTTTCCGGCCCAACTCTGAGCCCAGCACCGTTGCCTTGAATCCCATTTTCGGCCCAGCCCAAACCCATATTCCAACGGTCGGGGAACCCGAGCTCCAACGCGAAAAAATTCGAACTCCCGCGGCGGCGCCTCTCTCTCTCTCTCTCTCTCTCTCTCTCTTTCTCCGATTCAATGGCGACTACTCGAGACCTCTCGGCGATCGACATGGCGAGAGAAGCCGCGGCACCAGGGCGCACCGCGGGGAAGGCCTCCGCGCCGTCGGGACACCACCACGCGGGCGCTCGCGGCGGCGGCGGCGACCTGTGGTCGGAGATCATGGCCAGCGGCGGAGGCGGAGGCGCGGCCCGCATCGGCGTGGTGTACGGGCGGCGGCGGGCGGCGCAGGAGGCGTCGAGGCCGAGGGGCGCCGTCGATGTGTGAGTCTCCGCGATCTGATCGATCGATCTCCCGGGGGTTTGGTTCTAGGGTTTTGGATTTCCTTTCGATTTCCCCTTTCCGCTGACACGACGATGGTTTTTTTTTTTTTCAGGAGAGGCGTTGCGGCCGGCGAGAAGAGGGCGAGCTTTGAGCCGAGCAAGAGGACCAGCTGGAACCGGTCGCTCTCCATCAGGTGGGCTTCAACTCCACTGGCTTCTTCAGTTTGATGCTACTCCGGTTATAAGTTCGATTTAATTTCTGTGGAATTTCCGAGATGCTACACTGCTGAAGGGAAATTAAATCTCCCCTAAATTTTGTAGCAGCTGAAAGGGATTGAAAACTAGTAGTATAATGCAATGAGGAACCCTGTTAAGCTTTCAGTAAAGCCGGGCTCGCAGAGCCTTTTCTCTAAAATAATGCAATGAGGGAATCAAATTCCAACCAGATGCATCCCCATCTGTGAAAACATTAGATTTTGCAATGCCATTAATTTCATATCTCTAGTTCGTTGCTCTATGATCGACACACCTTTTTTTAGTCCCTACATCCCACACACATTAGACCGTGAGCTGTTCATTAAGCAATGCGCACTTACCAATAATAAATGACATCCCCTAGTTTTATACTACATCTGTCCCAAAATATAAGAACCTATAGAGCAGGATTTTAGTATCAATTCGCATAGGAATGCAAAAATTTGGAGAATTTTTTGGCGTTCCAAAAAGACACTATTGTGTAGTTGGGCCATGTTCTAGTGACCGTACAGCTGTAATAAAGCTTTGTACTGTTCCCCTCGTGCTCACTGCTAGCTTCTTGTAGAAGCTTTCTACATACTCCCTCCGTCCTAAAAAAAAGACAAACCTTGGGTTTTCGTGTCCAACTTTTGACCGTCCGTCTTATTTGAAAAAATTATGAAAAAAATTAAAAAGACAAGTCACGCATAAAGTATTAATCATGTTTTATCATCTAACAACAATGAAAATACTAATTATAAAAAAATTTCATATAAGACAGACAGTCAAACGTTGGACACAGAAACCCAGGGTTTGTCTTTTTTTGGGACGGAGGGAGTATGTCCATATGAGCAATAACCATGAGTGAGGACTGAGGAGGTTGAGCTTCTCGTGGAAGCCTCTCTACCGTGGATGGGGCTTCATTAACAGGGAGTCCAGTAGAGAAGCTAGAGATAGCAGGTTCTTGTTTTAGTGTTTTACCTTTAAAATTTAAATGAGTTTCTTGTTTTCCCGTTCTTTCATTTGAATGCCTCACATCTCTCTTTGTTCAGGTGCTGTAGTTTTCGCATTAAAGTTTGTATTCCTTTCTTTTATTTTTCATTGTGTACTTAAGATAAATGGACTCCGGAACATGTCAATCTCGTAAGCAAGTAAGAAATATTGCAATGCTAGCTTTGCTTAGTAGTCATTACCATGCTCATGCTAGTGCGTGTTAGTATTTGTTTGGAACTGTCATTTGTACCCCCAAGATTATATTTGCCAGAAGCTACATACTTTTAAGTTGATCTTTTATGCTGCCATTGTACGGATTTCAGAGGTATTAAATAAATTTTAGACCTAAATGCAATTTTTACAGCATTAAATGTTAGAGTTGTGAAATATTTACACTTTTGTTTCTTGATTTGGGCATTGAAATTTCCGTGAAGTTTTGAGATTTGCCATTCTCAAGCTAGTGGAGATTGGACAACTCTTAGGTCCCTGTGATGTCATTACCTCCCATGTAAAAATCGTTGAATAAACTTACTACATGACAGAATAAGTAGGTTCATAGACTATTTTGCCACATGCAAATTCAACAACCTAGGTGATAGAGAGTATTAAGATAAATAACTTCTGGTGCAAATCTCAGTATATACCTTCTGTTACAGAATGGTACTCCTTAGCACTTGATAAATATAATATAATAATATTTTTGTTCACAATGAATAATGTGGCTTGCAAGATTTGAATTATATTTCAGGTCCATTGCCCTTTGTCCTATTCGTTTGCTTATGAAGATCTGATCTAACAATTGTTGGGTCTTAGTAGATGTAGAAGAATCTCAGTTCTCAACTTCTCAAGTAAAATTTTTAGCCTCCAACATTGTTTTCTTAAAAAAAAATGTTCTGGTGAAACTTGACAGAGGACGGGAAAGTATCCTTTTTGCTCCTGGAACAAAAATTCAACCTCAGCAGAATCCTTGCAGAGCACAGAAAAGGCCACCAAAGCCGGGTAACCGAGTGGTAGGGCTGATATATTTTGCCTTCATGTTTGCTAACAGCATTAAAGTGGTTTGCCTTTAAATTTGCTATTCTATTGCAGAAAAGAACTTTTGGGGGGCCTCCTGACTTGAAGAAAGAAAAGGCTTATTTTGAAGAAGTTGATGCTTTTGAACTGATGGAGGAGAGCCCTTCACCTAAGAACTTTGGCACTTGGGCGAGAGGAATGGAGCAGAATTACATTGTGCATGATCTATCTGCAATACTGGAGAGATGGAAAATCTCCAAGCTTGCGAAATTTGCAGCATCCAGGCCCTTGTTTGATATCATGGAGACCCCAGTTGTACCATCAGTCCGTAGTGATTGCAGTCTTCACGACAGTTGTAGAACCCCTGAAAAGGATAGGGGGTCTAGAACAAATCCTATGAGAAGAACAATCCCTTCAGGGCTCAGTGACAAAACCAGCATTTTTACATCCTTTAGTGAGCTTAAGATTAAGGAAGAACCTGATGATAGCAGCATTCCATCATTGAGTGCTGAAGCTATGACTGCCTTTGCTCAACTCCTTTTGGTTTGCAATCAATCTGCACCTATAACCCTAGCTGAAGCGTTTTCCACTTACTGGTAGGTGGTTCAACCTTACATGTTTATTAACTACTATGCAGTCTTTATTCGTCATTTAACGAAGATGTTCATGGAAATAGTACACCAGGCAGCATTGTGAAGCTTGGTGAAGGAACATTCGGTGAGGCCTTCAGGGCTGGTAGTACTGTCTGTAAAGTGGTTCCCTTTGATGGAACATCACTAGTTAATGGAGAGACCCAAAAGGTTTATTTCATTCATTTGTGCTGTCCACTCTGAAATTTTCAGGTACTCATTAGTCATTGGATGGTTCTGTTTTGCAGAAAGCAGAAGAAGTTCTTGAGGAAGTTTTGCTTTGTCTAACACTAAATAATCTAAGAGCAGACCGGGGTGATAATGTGAAAGAAAATTCATGCCATGGTTTCATTGAGACAAAAGAGTATGCGATTTTCATTATCTTGTAGTTATCTTTGTAGAAATTGTATGAAATGACTAAGCCAGCTTTACCCAACAACCAAGTGGCCTAAATTCTTCTGATATTTGTCTGTTTTTGCAGTTTTTGGGTTTGTCAAGGTCCATATGACCCTTCACTTATTTGTGCTTGGGAAGATTGGGATGCCAAATGTTGTTCTGAGAATGATCATCCAAATGATTTTTCGAATGAACAAGTAGGATTCTGATCGTTCAAACCACACATCGTTCAGTTATTGTGGTGAAGCATGCGTGACCATTTCTTCTGGTTATCACATCTTTTTGTAACTTTCTTGCAGTGCTATATTGTCTTTGTGCAAGCTGATGGTGGGAGAGACCTTGAAAAATTTGCTTTGCTTGACTACAATGAGGCTTGCAGTTTATTGGTTCAAGTATAAACCTGGTGTATCCTAAGCTTTTATGAACTTTACCTCAACTACAAAGTCTTTGGATAAACTATAAATCATCTTATTGATGCAGGTCACTGCTGCTTTAGCTGTTGCTGAAAGCGCGTGCGAATTTGAACATCGAGATTTGCATTGGTTTGTACTTTCAAAAATGATTTCCATTCACATCCTTAGTTTAGTGTTCTCCAACGAAATGATGTAACATTGATGAGGTAGTTTATTCTTTTTAGTTTTGTTAAGTGTTTGTACAGGATGCAAAACAAGGGCCAATATTTAGAATGTGAAATTTTGATATTTTTATAAGTACACGTGGATTTAATATACCAGGTAGCTGGGAAAATCCTAACAATACTTAAAGTGGGTCAAAATATAGGTGGTGACAATGGGTGGACAGAGTTGAGTTGTTTTTAAGGTTCCTATTGGGAACCCCAACTGCTCAGACCAATTGTTGATATTCTTTCTTCTCAGTTTTAGTTGTCTATTATTGCTTACAAGCGGCTCATTTCGCAGGGGTAACATTCTATTGGATCGAGATGAAACACAAGACAAGAATCATACAATGGGTTTCACTCTTCAAGGGAAAAACATGTGTACTAGAACTTTTGGTTTGAACGTCTCAATAATTGATTTTACGCTTTCTCGGATCAATACAGGTACTCCATGAACCTAATATTTTTTTTCATTACATTATGCTGCACCCATTTGTAGTTTTAAATTTTGATGTGGCCTACAATTTCTAGAATTACTAAAACTGGTGATTTTTTGTATGCTTTTGTGTTGTGATCATAAGCAAAATTTTTAGCCACAAAAAACATTTGCAGAGGAATACTACCGTCCCAAAATAAGTGGAGCCATGGGTATCTGTGTCCAACGTTTGACCGTCCGTCTTATTTGAAAAATTTATGAAAAAAATAAAAAGAATCAGTCACACATAAAGTACTATTCATGTTTTATTATCTAATAACAATAAAAATACTAATCTCTACTATTATAAAAATTCAAGATATTTTTGCCTAGCTTTTCGTACGTCGACCAATTGTGAGTCGGTGAACGTTCTTGGGTATTTTTCCTTGTGTTTTACGTTTCCCTCGAATCAACTTGCTATCCGATTACGATTAATTTCCATGTCTGTAACTGCGCTCGCGTATGAAATAGCCCTGCCTGGGCCAAGCTTCTAACTGGGCAGCCCATGAACTGCTCCTGTCAGGCACAAGTTTGCAGTCCACACAACACATCCCACGTGCATATGCAAATCTACCTCTTGGGCCAATCTGCCGTTGTCCTCATGTCAGCCCGTGCATGCATGTTGACCAAGCCATTCTCGTGTTTATATATATGGGTGGACCCAGCACAAGCGCTATTACTGAGAATTTTTAATATTTATTTATAAGTATTTTAAAAAATAAATTCCCAATTCAAATTTTTTCCAAAAATATATTTTCTTCTCTATCTCTACTATTATAAAAATTAAAGATGTTTTTACCGGTATTTTGGTATGCCATTCGTGTATGAGACGGTTTTTACGATTGTTCGCTTTTGAAAATACATATCCGTATTTGAGTCTGTTTTTAAGTTTGTTCGCTTTTGGAAATACAGTAGGAGTCGTATAAAAAATCTCTTTAAAAAACTCGTGTGCTAACTTGAGACAATCGAACTCCTAATTGCAGCTTATGATTTTCTAAATATATATATATATATCCAAGCGAATTCCCACAGTAAATTTCACCTTAACTAAACCGTATATAATAATAATAAGATTAAAATAGCCTTCACCCGTTGCAACGCACGGGCATTTTTTCTAGTCTTAAAAAAAATTCAAATAAGACGAACAGTCAATCGTTGGACATGAACAGTGCAAAACTGCACTTATTTTGGGACGGAGTGAGTAATAATTACATTTGCACCTCCAAGTTCATATTGGATCTGATAGATCCTAGCTGAATATGCCCATCTTCTGGCTAGTCCATGTACGTTAACTTCTGGTATTACTATATGATCAATTCAGTTAGCTCCATAAAATATTTCAAGTTTGCATCTCAAGTGCTACGCATGTATGTAACACCTTTGTGGTTCTTGTTCTTTTTTCCTCAAGAGCAAAGTGATACGGTCATTTCTTATTTGTTAGCCTTTTACGTGTTATGTTTTGTCCATTTGACAATTTTTGTGTTTGTAATGATACTCTCCAGGTGATGCTATCCTCTTTTTAGACCTGTCAACGGACCCTGCCTTATTTGAAGGACCAAAACGAGATAAGCAGGTTTTCAGATGATCACTTTGAAAGTAGCATGTTAAATCATTTTGGGCTAGTGTAATATATGTTTCTTATAATATGCAGGCAGAAACATACCGAAAAATGAAACAGATTACCAATGATTACTGGGAGGGCAGGTAAGTACTCCACTACATAAGACAGAACAATTCTTGAGCCATTTACATACGCGTGTCATTGACATTGTTGCAGGATTCGTAGTTTCAGACCAACTTTGTTAGCTTGCAATAGCAAAGTACTAATTATTCTAGCCGACTCACAAACTATGTGTATGGCTATTCACTAGCTGAAGTTACTTTTGCATGGATTTAAAACTACAGTAAACTTTTTTTAATCAGAAATTGATAGAAAAATACTTTCAAAATCGGAAACATTTGAGGTCTGTTTAATTGTCATTGCAGCTTTCCAAAGACAAACGTCGTATGGCTAATTTATCTTGTCGATATCGTACTGCAGAAGAGATACTCCGTGAGTTCATCTTTCCTGACAACGTTTGAATTTGCGCTGATTTTGTTATTGCCTACAAATCAAATTTGCCACCATTGCTAACCTCAGTAACTGTTGCTAGACATTTACTTCCAAAGACGACAGGGAGCTCCGAGCGTTCAAGAAACGCCTAGCCAAGTATGATTCCGCTAAAGATTGTCTCACTGATTCTTTCTTCAGTGACCTATTATTGTCCGACGAGGATGCACAGCCCTCTACAGCCTGAACTGCCTCTTCTTTAGTTCGATCCGAGAGATGACATAGCCTTCCTCTCCATGGGAGGGTTAATGTTACTTGTTAATTAATCAGTTAACACAAGCTCCTCTTCCTGGGACGTACAAGAGCTAAGATAACTTGTTGCCCGGTAACCTTTTGCAAGCACTGTAACATAAGTCCAGTGATCCATCTAGGATCCTTGCATTTCTATCATCTTTATTTTACGTTTTGGCCTGAACGACGTTGTTTTGCCCAGATGCTTTTGTCTGACCCTGCCAAGTTGGGCGTTAGATTTTGTACGAATATGTTACCTTTTTATTCTGACGAGACTGAAGCAAATCACAATTCACAAAGATATGAAAACTGGAACAACTGCAAACTGAAGCCTTCACGTGATTACTTGCAGAATAAAAAGAACAACAAATATCTTTGTATCCTCATCACTACCACATATACACACATTCATAAAGCCAACAGGAAGCCGCACTGCAACCATCAAACGTAAATCCAACACTAATGACCAATTACAGCAAGAAAAGAATAGATCAGTGGAAGGGAATAACGACATGAGATGATATACAAGCGCAAAAGAATTGTCACGACGTGCATAGTATCTTCTCCCAAACATCTCGGTTGCCTCCCACTCGCAATGCTCAGAGGCTTCCGAAAGATTCTATGGACAAGAGCTTCCTGTTCTGCGCAGGTGGTGCCAGTCCTGGGATGTCTCTGATGTTCTTGTTGTGAGGGTTGACAATCTGGAAGAACGGCAGACCGGTCATTCATTGCATAGTAATGTAAGACTAGCTTGTAATGTAAAATGTGACAAATGAAACAATCTATGACATTCTGGAACTGAATCAGTTAAGTATAGCATTGCATGACGTAACACACCAAATGTGGGACTGATCACTAGCTCTAGTTATTATCCAAATGATGTATTCCTGCTCCTTTTATTCGTCATTCTTATCTCCAACATATAATAGAACACGTAGAGTTAACGAGAAACTAGCTAGGTGCACTAACTGGCTCTACAATTAACTGGACAGAAATTTTCACCATAGGTCATGGGCTTTTAGTTGAACTTGCACATACGGAGGATATAGGATCAGTTTTTATCTCAACAAGTGATGTCACCTAAGGTAAACAACATGGGTACATTTGCAAAAGCAATTAAAACATACCTTAACAACAATGATTGCAATCACACCACAGACTATCAGAAATAGGAATGCCATGATGCATTTGTCAGTTGCAACCTGCAGCAATGAATCTTGTAAGTCTAGGCACAGCCACTTCAAATATACTCCATCTGTCCCAAAATGAGTGCAGCCTTCTAGTTCAAATTTGAACTAGAGGGCTGCACTTATTTTGGGACGAAACGAGTAACATACGTGTGTGCAGGGGGGGAGAGAGAGAGAGAGAACCTGGCGACCAATCTCTTTCACCATTTGGCTAGCCTTCTTCAGTGAAAAGTGAACCGAGTCTAGCTCATTGCCAATTCTCTTCATTTGTTCTGTCTAAAAGGATGTAAAGAGAATTTTAGGGTGCTGGATTAAACTTATCAGGACTGACCTTTCTAACAAGAAACGTCCAAGGAATATTCTGTTGAATTTTATCATCCCAAAAAACTTACTTGTTGTGATAGAGCTGCAGCAGTTTGAGATCCAACTTCAACGGTTTGTGCAACAACCTACAAGAAAGGATTCTTGTAAAATTTGCTCTTGAAGTGTGTAAAGAAATGAAAGCAAAATCTACTAGCGCACCTTTTTCGAACGCTCAATAACTTGATCTGTTTGGTCCATCTGTTTCCTTCCGGCATCCATGAGTTGTTGATTTGACATTTCTGAAGAATTACCAAAGTGCTTTGGTTAGAATAAGAACACATTACCTCTCAGGGGCAGGTTAACAATGATATAAGAAACTACAACCACCTGATGCCATTTGAACAGTGTTGTCCTCGGCCACCTGATCATTACCAGTATCAAATAGTTCAATCCTCTTATTACCCAGGCTGCTTTGGTACCTGAAACACCATGAGAGTTGCATGTCTATTACCACAAGTGATGTACAATGTAACAGGATCACATATGCAAATGAAACGCTGAATTCAACATAAGGAAAAAAAATAACACATGCATAACGAAAGGGGAAAATCTACTTACGTTTTCCTCAATGTGACATAGGAATTCAATTCTTTGATCTGTTTTAACACACAAGAAACAAATTACACTTGTGAGCTAAATTGTCCAGTAAGGGTAACACAAACACTAGTGAAGAAAACTAGTACTACCAACCATCAGCTGCTTCTTATCATTTAGCTGCTTGTTGACATCAGCCGAGTTCTTTTTCTCATCCTCTTTGAGAATACGATCAAATTCTTTGATTAAGCTGCGAGAAAACACCAAATCATCACATTTACACAAATCTATCAAGACATTAGTGCTCCATCTAACAGGCAGAGCAGTTGCAGAACTCATGCGCCACATGCAAAAAGATCTAAATTGCTTGTTCAAGCCAGGAACATCAATGGCGCACAGATGGAGAAGCTAAACTAAACCATGGGTTCAGGCGTGAGCCTGTGCATCACCAGAGCACACAGTAGTGTTCAGGCAGGCAGGGAGACCTACCGCTTGCACTCCCTCATCTTCCCGGTGAGATCTTCCAGCTGCTTGGACTGCCTGTTGGAGTCCTTGATCTTGTCCATCTTCTGGAACCCATTCCTGCAAACGAAAAGCAGTGAACCCAACAGCGGAAACCGCGAACAATTTCGAGCACAGATTGGGCGAGTGGCGAAAATCTGAGCCACCGCCGCCGCCGCTGCCGCAGAAGCCTCGAGAAGCTTCGCAGCCCACTAAGCCGGTGGAGGGAGGGGCGGAATGCTGGAGGGGGGAGGAGGAGGAGGAGGCGGCGGTGGGGGAGGGGGAGATCTGACTCACTGGAGCGCGCGGAAGATGTCCTGGATCTCGCCGTCCACCTGCTCCAGCTCGGGGCTCATGGGCACGTCGCTCGCCATGGCTTTCTCTCTCTCTTGCCTCAAGCTGCCGGATCTCCGTATCTCGCCGCCGCCGCCGCGTCGCGAGATCCGAGCAGTCGCAGGAGGTGGTTGGTCGTCTCGTCACCGCCGCATTCCGGTGAGCGGCGGTTGGAGTCGAGTTGAGTTAGGAGGAGAAGGAGATGGGTTGGTGCGGGTGCGGGTGCGGGTAGCGGGTTCGGGTGGGGTGGAGTCGGGATCCGACAAGGGTATTAGCTGTGCGGTCCAGTTGATTAGGGAGGGAAAAGCAAGAGGGGAACGAAGCTTAAGGATAAAATTCACATTATGGGTTGCTTGATTTTGAGATAAGAGCAAGTATAATAGTGAGCTATAAGCATACTATAAGCTCATGTGGAGGAGAGAGGTAAACAAAAGAGAATGGTGTTGGCTCTCATGCAAAAGCTAGCTTAACACAAGTTTCAAGACAAATACATTAAATGTATAAGTGAGAGATAGAGATAGGAGAAGAAAATTATAGCTAATCTATTATATGTGTTGACTTTAGAATGGGCTAATATTAGGAAGTGGGCTATATTATTATCCTTGCTCTAAGGGAGGTAGGTAAGTTTTGTTGAGTTAATGCTGGTTTGAAAAAGGAGAGGTACCACAATATTTTTTTTACTATGAAAAAGTTTAATATGCACATAGAGTTGGTTTAATATCCTACCTTAACAATGTCCTAAGCGATATTAAAAGCTAATGCTAAAAAATAAACTACGATAAAAAAAACTTTATAATCAAGTTTTAAATTTAAAATTTGACCATGGTTTATAAACTATAAACCATAGAGAAAAGATGAGAGCCACCTACTATATTAAACATCGATGTAGTTAGTCAAATATATCAATAAGGAGTGATCCTTTTTTTGTTTTTTGAACTTTTAAATTTTTTAATTTTAAAAATAAATCATTTCAAAAATTATTTTCAATATCTGAACTAGTTGGCCACGTCAGCTAGACTAGTGTGGCAAAACAACACTACCACGCTGATCCGGCTGACGTGGTAATGTTATTTGGCCGGACAAACCTGTCACGCCCGATGAGTGTGGCGTGTCAGTATTGTTTTACCACATCAGGTGTGCTGGTGTGATTAAAAGGTTCAGATTATGGAAAAAAGTTTTAGAAGGGTTTAGGTTTTAAAATACAAAAACATAAGGAGTAGGCATATAACATAGTGCTAAAATAGCGATATGACGTAATTATTAACATAAATCTTTTATATGTTGTATGTGATTTTCGACTGATTTGCATATTTAAAGAAGATATTGATTGCTAAAAATTTTAAAACTTTATATAGATAAGTGTGCTCGTGTGAATATGAGTGCCTACATCTCTATACATATTTTTTTTGAAGGAAAATCAAATATGTGATTGAAGGGAGCAAAGTTCCTCCTTTTCTTGACCCATGGTGGTTTTTTAAGCATATCATGACACATAACATTTATCAGTACCATTTATTTGTTTTCTTTATACCCTTCATCTTAAAATAAATTTATTTTTATACACGAATCACGTAGTAAGCGATTAGGTCGTCTAGTTGGCAGGAAGCATGTAGCCTAATGGTTACAGTGACCTGAGTAGTACCCTAAGGTCGTGAGTTCACATCTTCATAGAAGCGAATTATAGATTGAGTTGTTTATGAGGCTAAGTTCCTAATTTAAATGGCCGCATATATCCGATTAGATATAAATGCCGGGAAAAAAAGAACCTGGGAAAAAAACAGTTGGCAGGAAGCCAGCAGCGGTTAGGTCTCACTCGTTGGTGGCATGCGTTGTCGATGGTCCCACTCCCATCCTATCCATCCGACGGCAAAAGAAAAAAAGTTTGCCTTTCGATCCAACTCATCAGGCCCAATCTGGCTTACCACGGCCCTATTGCGGATGGCGGCGCGCAGCTCGGACCCACCAATCGGTTTATGGGCCGGATAATATTGCTCTTAAATGGCCTGTACAAATTAGGCCGACAGCTACTCAAGGCCCAAACGCATATATGCCATCTCAATCAAAGAGAAAGAAAAGTAATTGCATCAAAAGTCGAAGTCCATTCAAGCAAGCATGGAATGCACTATGCAAAATTGCGTAAACCACTCTAATTGTTACCCTTATTTTTTATATTCTACGTCACAACCTGTTTTATTCCAAAAACTCATCCACCTCAACACTCACATGTTGAAATTGCCATGTACACGCATGTGAGTAGCACATTCGACCCATTTTATTTTGACGCGGATTTGTATCAGCTGGCTCGGATTTGTCCTTAGGCTATTTCTCCACTCAAGGTCCAACGAAGAGTTTGTAAGCTAGAAGTAACTAGGGGTGGAAACGAGCCGAGCTAGGCTCGGCTTGCAATGGCTTGTAATAAGCTAGGTTTGGCTTGGCTCGACCCGATTAAGGAAACGAGCTAAAACATGAGCTCGGCTCAGCTCGTTTTCTGGCTCGAGCTAGCTCGAGCTGACTTGCGAGCCTTCCATTGAAGCTATATAATTTGTAATCATTAAGAAAAGCAATAACAAATCATCAACATGTAAAATTAAAATAACTTTATATATTAAATTCATTAAAATATAGATGATAAATTACATATTGACAAATAATAACTTCACTAGAAAAAAAATCATCCATATAAATACATGATGGCCTAGGCTAGGCTCATGAGCCAAATCAAGCGGCTCGCAAGCCAGCTCAGGCTCGGCTCGTTTCAGAACCAAGCTAAAAAGGAAGCTTGGGCTTGCTCGTTTGGCATTCAAGCCGAGCCAGGCTAAGCGAGCTCGAGCCAAGCCCGAGCTGCTCACGAGCCCAAATTTTTTTTCCACCCCTACAAGTAACACTGTTTTTTTTTTCATAGAATGAGTTCGAGTTGAATTCATTACATTAATAATATTGAACGAGACTGGATGCTATATATGGCTTGGCGCACATTTAAGTTAGAAAAAATTTGGACTGCGCGTGCGCGGGTTGGGGTGGTGGGGGAGGGTTGATAAGGCAATTTCAACCTATGTTAGTGTTGGGTGAGTAGGTTTTTGAAACAAAATAAGTAATGGATTAAATCACAAAACAAGAGTGATAATTGAGATGGTTTACATAATTTTGCCACTATACTACTTGCAGGCGTGCGTTATCCATCCACGTGTGCACGTGGCTAAGGTTGCTCAATTTGGCGTGCACTTCATTTTTTTTTTTTCACATGCATGCCCTGGCACTGCACGTCTCCGGATTCCACGTAGTGCTGCTGCCTCTAGTTAGTAGTTACTGATCAGGATGACAAATCACGAGTACAAAAATATGAATTGGGCTTTTGCACGTACCAGTACATGCCCACCCGTTGATCCAAGCTAATATAACGACTTCTCATTTGGCACGCATGCCTGCAAAATAAGAAGAAGAAAAAATATTAGTCAGTACGTAGATAGCGTGCAATGTTTTTTTCAAATATTTATTATACTTTTGTTCCTAAATACAGGCAAGCAGAATTGTAGTAGTGTACAACTGTTCATCGATCTTCTGTCACACGTTGATGTCTTGATGATCGGTGCTCATCCAGCTCTTATGCGTCAGATAGACGAAACAGATCGAATACACGCATTTCCTGCCTTAAATCAAATAGGAATTGGCCTGCGTGTAATCTGTAGCTGTAGCTTTGCGGTGCCCCGTTTGACCTTTTCTTTCTCTAATAGAATGGGTGGTTTGTTATTAATCATACTATAAAATCAAAATCAGCGCACGTGTTGGTGTGCCTGCTTTTTTTTTAGAATGATATGCTCAAAAACCAAAAAACTTAGTAGAACCATATGTTTTTCTGTTGGACTTTATGGTTGAGTATAAATAATATGGTTTTGATAAATCTTTAACTAAATCTTATATGGATGATGTACTTTCCAAGGCAATATATTAGCACCGCACAACTAAAAAATATAAAATATGACGAGGATAATGAACTAATACATATTACATACTGGAACTTAGAGTCAACGGTCACACATATCTTCACCAACTTTGGATAGATATTTACAAATAAAATTAAATAAGATGTATTAATTTCTCCTCTGTGTTGGAGTTTTTAGACTTATTGCCTCGTCATGTTTGGATTTTTTTAGCATCTCTATGTTAAGCGAGCTATGTTTGTAATAAGTGATTATATATTAGCTTTTTTCTAAAATAAAGGCATGATGTATTATTCCATTATCTTTAAAGAACCAACCGCCCATATGCTATTAAGTGGAATATATCGAGGAACATGAATTCTTATATTAATATTTGAAATGATAATAATATGTAATTCCTTCATATAGTTCCATTACAACATATACACGCACTAGATCTCCTAGCATTCAGAGAAGCAGGTCATGCGAACACCATATCGGACTCTCTAATAGTAGCATACTTTCTTCGTCTCATAAAAATCTAATTCTAATGATAAATTTGAATATAAATATCCAGATTCATGAGTAGTACAGAAGGGAATTCCCATCCCGAGCTGTTTCTCTAACGAACGAATTCGATCAATAATTAATATTTACAGCACCACGCGACACGATCCCAAACAACAACACATGCGTGCGCCATCGATCCGTAGGTCGTAGTTGCATGTTTGTGCGATTCTCCATGCCTCATGTTAGTCCCGGCAATGATGTAATATGGTTGTTTACATCTAAATTTGGCATCTATGGATGAAATAGGAGAAAATTGCCAAAGTTTGGAAAGTATCGGGTTTTCTTCACAGGGCCGGTCAGACCGCAGGTATGTGGGCGGTCTGACCGGCTAATAGGGCCGGTCTGACCGCAGGTATGTAGGCGGTCAGACCGGCAGGGTCTGAGTCCAAGTCTGTTTTCGTCAGGTCTCGAGTTTCCTTACTCGGGAAGGCATGTTTCGTGTTTCCTTTGGTTTCTATCCTGAGTTGGGCATGGAGAAGGGCCTGTAGAGGGCAAGACCAACCCCTATTTAAGGGACAAGGCCGGTTCATTGTAAAACCCTCAAATACAATCTATTTGAATCGTTCTTTTACTATGTTTTCTATTTTACCCTAGTTTAGTCCATCTTTATCGGTTTACGCCGTAAACCGTCCGCCGCCGCTGCGAGAGTGCGACACCTCTTTGTAGGTTTGTCCTGAAAACCTTCCGTTTTGCCCACGAGATGAGTAGTTATCCTCGTATCGATCTAAATCGGCCTAGAGGCTGA